AAGATGAATTAGCTAAAATTTCATCTTGTACAACCATTCTCCCTTTATTTCTTTTTCTCCAGTATTTAGATTAATTTTTAATTTCTTTTAATTTCTACTGATATTCACTTAGCTGATGTGTTCTTGTTCCTATTCGTACCATACAATAAGGGAGCAACCATTTAACTTCAAGAGGGGGGTTATGTGAGTTTAACAGTTGACTTCTTGTTTAACGGTTCATTAAGTTGAAGTTGACAGATATGTTTCATAAGGAATAAACATCTGCGCCACGAGTGCATGATACGCCCGTTGTCTTGTGTGTGAGGTTTTATGCAATAATCATAAATCGTTTCTGAGATACAGTGTGACATGTGAAAACCCCCATTTTTTATAAAAAAGTCAATAACTCTAAAATAAAATTTTGAATCATCACCAAAAAGTATACAGATCTTTAGATGAATATAATTAAGTGTGTAAAGTTTGAAGCAATAATCATAAATCGTTTTTGAGATACGGCGCGACATGTGAAAAACCCCCCTTTTTTTACCAAAAAACTCAATAACTCTAAAATAAAATTTTGAATCATCACCAAAAAGTATACAGATCTTGAGATTAATATAACTAAGAATTGTGTAAAGTTTTAAGCAATAATCATAAATCTTTTTTGAGATACGGCACGACATGTCAAAACTCCCCCCCCCCCCCCCTGTTTTAGTTACAAAGTCCTGTAACTCAAAAAGTTTTAATCTTATTTTCACCAAAAAGGAGACAGATTGTTTGACCATCATAAGAAACAACAAACAAAGTTTCATGAAATTTGGATAAGTCGTTCTCAAGTTGCGGTGCGACATGTGGACGCCGAACAGACGGACAGATAGACAGACGGACGCTGGACATTTGTATACCATAATACGTCCCGTCAAAATTTTGACGGGCGTATAAAAATCGATAATGACCATGCAAAAATGTGTTTACAATAATCTTAACTTGTGAGTAAAATTCACTTTATTTTATTAATCATGTAACAATGATGCATATGATTAAACATGGTAAATATATCAAAATTTTATTTTTAAAAACTCTTAATTTTTGTAAACCTTGAAGGGTCACCTTATGCAACTTACAGATGACAGTAAAAGTAACTTTCAATGTACCTGGACCATATGAGTATATACACATATGGTCGTGTCGTTACAGGTATGGTCCAACTACTCATATGGTCCGGGACATACACAACATGTTATAGTCAGGCTTCATTTTAGGTATGGGTTGTAAGCAAGCTGATAACTCTCAGTTGGAATATACATTGAAGTAAACAGAGATTACTATAAAACACTGTGTTAAAGTAATCCCAAAAATAAAGTACATTTGTTATTCCCTATTCTGACATCATTATTTTTGATGTCACATCCACTCAAGAGTAAGAAATCTGGTTTGAATCAGAGCAAGAAAAATACTAAAAAGTACAAACATTATCTTATGACTATTTTATCATAGGTAAATTAAAGTCCAATCCGATAGAAACTAGATCTCTGCTCCCTTATTTTGGATGTCACACTCCCACTAATAGAATAAGAAATCTGGTTTTAATCAGATCAAACTTGTAAAAGTGTCAGTCAAACATCAAAAAACATTTTTGTAAATGTTTGTTATTTTAATACTTTTCATGCTTCACTAATCAAATTAGCATATGTACGACAACATTCAGTATATAATAGGAGGAAGAAATCAATTATATTCCTCTATCTGTAATTTTTACAGGTGTAATATCGTTATTATGTTATTATATGACACTAACAAGAACCTGTGTGACTATATCATGTTAAATCCAAAGATAAATGCAGTAAGTTTTTTGGCTAATATTTTTTATAATATTATAGTAAAAATCTATTGCTTATTGTGGCAGTAGTAGCCTATATTTTATTGCAAAAATTAAAATAGAAATAATTTTGATTTGATATTGTTGAAGCTAAATAGTACAAAAGTTTTGATTTAAAAATCAGTGACAAATACAATTTAGGCCCTGGAAGTTTAAGTATGGTACACCATATTTATATTTATTGAACATTCAAGATATCTCATATTCTTTATAAGATATTTTCAATTATTGATAAGATATATCTTATAAATTTTACATGTCCAGTTGGAGTGGGGATGTTAAATCTGATGCCTTGGGTAAAGAGAGTGTCACACCCTTGCAACAACTATTTGAGGGGTCAGCAAGTGGCCTGTTGCAACACAACATTAAACTTTACACTGACACTTGTTTTAGAATGTGAATGAAGTTGTACCTGAACTAAGTTTATTATTGTAGTGGATTATTCTTCAGTTCAAACATTTCTGCTAGGAAATACTCCAGTACATACATTTTCTGTTAAAAAATCTTTAAGTATTATGTAAAATAAGAAGTTTCAATACTTATAAAAAGTAGTTATCTAGAACTATTAAAAACTTTAAGAAGTGCTTTATTAATAGAATAAAGAAATTTGTTTTACTACTTTTAGTACTTTAAAATACAATTGATTATACCTGGCCCTGCCTCAAACAGATGGGATATATAGTGATGCACATATTCTTCCGTGTGTTTGTCAGTCTCAAGTTTAGTTTCCTGATAATCAAAATAACAGAATGATCAAATCTTTTGAAATTTTAACACAATGTCATCATGGACCATAAAATATGTTGATTATTATGGTTTTGACATGTACCATTCAGTTTACTTACCATAAAAGTTGGAAATTCTTCTGGATGATAATGATATATTATACCATTTGACAAAATGTTTTTGAAACACAACGTCATTTACCATAAAATACAGGTTGTAAACTTGATTTTCAGGGTTTTGACATTTAAAATACACTGTTTTAATGTAAAAAAAAAAAGGTTTAACAAACACGAATGATTTAGGGCAAAAGTGATCAAGTTTTTTTTAGAGAATATTATTATGATTGAAGCAAACCAGTCTGATGCCAAGTCTAAGCATAAAATCCAAACTATGAATGAGTAAAAAAAAATGTTGATGTCCCTAATTAAAAGGTATAGGATAAGGATTGACATAGATTGAACGATGTAACAAGAAAAAGCCACATCTTGCAAAGCTAGGAATTAATCATATATGCTAAAGAATGTAATTTTTCTAAGCTATTCTTTACCCTGTTGGAAGCTCGCCAACATTGCTCTTTGCTTACTAATGAATAATTTTGAACTTATACCCATTGTGAAAGTGGAAAGTGGTTTGCTGGTTGTCTTTTTATATGGTTGCCAATAAACAGTCACATTTAATAACTGGATAAGTGTGCCAATGTTTGAATTCTTATATGTCAACAGAACATTAAAATGACAGATTATTGAGATAAAAATGTATTTACTTTGTAAATTATAAATGAATTAATGACCCTTTTTACATATTGATAATTTCCTGCAAGTAAAAAACTTAATTTTAGATATTAATAACAAAACTTGGCTATACAACAGTAATGTTTATTGATTATATTTGCTGAGTGATTGGAATTTTATTATAAAGAATTGTAATTTTCAGTGTCCAACTAGTTGTATTTGAATTGTGCACATAACAATTTTTTAGGAGGAGGACTATTGATAATATCTCATATTATACATGTTACATGTTTTAATTCTTGTCACCAGATAGTGTCTTCATTTTTTTATTAGATCCTCCAGAACATATGCATGATATATCTGCTTATTTACACAGAACATCAATAGGATTGGTTGATTTAGATAATGTCCTTCAATTTAATTCCATCAGTCCATTATTTGTTTGTTGTCAAGATGTAGGGAAAAACAGTATCTTCTTGAAGGATATAAATGCATATACCTTTTGGCAAATAGGCTTATCCTTGTGCATATACCCTGGGGATGGTGAAATTTGATAGACAATCAATAGATAAAGGAAAATACATGAAAAATAAACTTGTGATCAACCAATCAAAATCCTGTATACTTATATAAGGTGTCATTAATCACTAAATTCTAGTTTCTGATACTTTGATACAAAATTTGTATGTAATTAATTGCAAATGAAAAGTCTTTTTAGTAGGATTCCAAATTTATTTTTACTTATTTCTCCATTAATCTAGAATAGTTGTAGAAAACATTACATCTCAAAATCGATAATAGTAATATGTGTATTTATATTCTACAGTTTCATACAAATAACTAATACTAGTAAATACACTGAAATCCTACATTATCTCTCTCTGCCTGTAAGTGGTCTGTCATCGTGATGGATATTAAATACTATTGTGTCCAAACATTTTTTGCCGGGCTAGACATTTTTGCTAGATAAGACACAGAGGTAAGAGCACTAGTCAGCTTAATGGAATCTTTGCCAAAATAACCCAACATATATTACTATATTTTTATGCCCCCACCGTCGCGGAGGAGGCATAAAGTTTTACCCTTGTCCATCTGTACGTACGTACGTACAAAATGTACGTACAAACGTACGAATGTATGTTCTTACGTCCCAAAATTGGTTTCCGTTCTCTAACTTTAGTTTGCCTCAACCAAATGCTATGAAACTTATACACAATGCTTATTACCACACAACACAGACCAAGTTGAATTTTGGTGGCGTCACTTTAACCGTTCAAGAATTATGCCCAATTACAAATGGAAAAATTGCTGAATTTTTCGTTTCTATTCTCTAACTTTAGTTTGCCTCAACCAAATGTTATGAAATTATTACACAATGCTTATAACCACAAAACACAGATCATGTTTGAATTTTGGTGGCGTCACTTTTACTATTCTAGAGTTATGCCCCTTTACAAATGGAAAAATTCGACCATTCTCTAACTTATGTTTGCCTCAAATAAATGTTATGAAACTTATAAACAATGTTTACTACCACAAAACTCAGATCAAGTACAAATTTGGGTAGCGTCACTATTACAGTTCTTGAGTTATGTCCCTTTATAACATTATATGCAAGCGGGGGCATCATCTTTGTCCTATGGACACATTCCCCATTTATTTAGTTAATAATTATTCTTTTGTAGATGGTAATATTTTAACAAGCTGATTTAATTAACACCATGGCAGATTTGGATGAATTCCCTGTGGTGTTTATAGACCCTGTCTATGCTACAGTCACCAGTATGTCTGGACTAGATGGTGATGATACTGCTGATCTTAAATGGATGGAAAATTGTGGGATGTCAGGGGGAATAATCAAGTTCTCAACACAAGGATGTGTACAAAGAAGAGTAAGAATTGCTAGAGAATATAATAATCTTAAGAGAAAACATGTTGTATGGCAACATAGAAGTTATTCTGTGGTAGTCTGACAATGAAAGAGAATATGATGCATTAAAAATAATTTTGTATAATTGTATACAAAACAAAACAACAAATGCATCAGAAGGTAAAAACAACAAAATGCATTAACAATGTCAAAATAACAAAATGCATAAACAATGTCGAATAACAAAAAGCATGAACAAAGTCAAAACAACAAAATGTAACAAAAATGTCAAAACAACAAAATGCATCAAAAATGCCAAAACAACAAAATGCATGAACAATTTCAAAACAACAAAGCATCAACAATGTCAAAACAACAAAGCATCAACAATGTCAAAACAACAAAAGCATCAACAATGTCAAAACAACAAAAGCATCAACAATGTCAAAACAACAAAGCATCAACAATGTCAAAACAACAAAAGCAGCAATAATGTCAAAACAACAAAGCATCAACAATGTCAAAACAACAAAAGCTTCAACAATGTCAAAACAAATGTCAAAACAACAAAAGCATCAACAATGTCAAAACAACAAAGCATCAACAATGTCAAAACAACAAAAGCATCAACAATGTCAAAACAACAAAAGCATCAATAATGTCAAAACAACAAAGCATCAACAATGTCAAAACAACAAAAGCATCAACAATGTCAAAACAACAAAAGCATCAACAATGTCAAAACAACAAAGCATCAACAATGTCAAAACAACAAAAGCATCAACAATGTCAAAACAACAAAAGCATCAACAATGTCAAAACAACAAAAGCATCAACAATGTACAAAACAACAAAAGCATCAACAATGTCAAAACAACAAAAGCATCAACAATGTCAAAACAACAAAGCATCAACAATGTCAAAACAACAAAGCATCAACAATGTCAAAACAACAAAAGCATCAATAATGTCAAAACAACAAAAGCATCAACAATGTCAAAACAACAAAAGCAGGTCAAAACAACAAAGCATCAACAATGTCAAAACAACAAAAGCATCAACAATGTCAAAACAACAAAAGCATCAACAATGTCAAAACAACAAAGCATCAACAACGTCAAAACAACAAAAGCACCAAAAATGTCAAAACAACAAAAGCATCAACAGTGTCAAAACAACAATGCATCAACAATGTCAAAACAACAAAGCATCAACAATGTCAAAACAACAAAAGCATCAACAATGTCAAAACAACAAAGCATCAACAATGTCAAAACAACAAAGCATCAACAATGTCAAAACAACAAAAGCATCAACAATGTCAAAACAACAAAAGCATCAACAATGTCAAAACAACAAAGCATCAACAATGTCAAAACAACAAAAGCATCAACAATGTCAAAACAACAAAAGCATCAACAATGTCAAAACAACAAAAGCATCAACAATGTACAAAACAACAAAAGCATCAACAATGTCAAAACAACAAAAGCATCAACAATGTCAAAACAACAAAGCATCGACAATGTCAAAACAACAAAAGCAGCAATAATGTCAAAACAACAAAGCATCAACAATGTCAAAACAACAAAAGCATCAACAATGTCAAAACAACAAAAGCATCAACAATGTCAAAACAACAAAAGCATCAACAATGTCAAAACAACAAAGCATCAACAATGTCAAAACAACAAAAGCATCAACAATGTCAAAACAACAAAAGCATCAACAATGTCAAAACAACAAAGCATCAACAATGTCAAAACAACAAAAGCATCAACAATGTCAAAACAACAAAGCATCAACAATGTCAAAACAACAAAGCATCAACAATGTCAAAACAACAAAAGCATCAAAAGAGGCAAAACAACAAAAGCATCAACAATGTAAAAACAACAAAAGCAGGTCAAAACAACAAAGCATCAACAATGTCAAAACCACAAAAGCTTCAACAATGTCAAAACAACAAAAGCATCAACAATGTCAAAACAACAAAGCATCAACAACGTCAAAACAACAAAAGCACCAAAAATGTCAAAACAACAAAAGCATCAACAGTGTCAAAACAACAATGCATCAACAATGTCAAAACAACAAAGCATCAACAATGTCAAAACAACAAAAGCATCAACAATGTCAAAACAACAAAGCATCAACAATGTCAAAACAACAAAGCATCAACAATGTCAAAACAACAAAAGCTTCAACAATGTCAAAAAAACAAAAGCATCAACAATCATTTTTTATGAAGTATATGTTTGTTCTTTCAATGTAGTTAAATTTGATACCTTATTTCAGTCCAATGTGAGCTACTATGTAAAGATGGCAGAAGAAACCAGTACAGATATGATAGCAGACTATTTCTACAAAGCCTGGAAGTTGGGGACACCAAACATAGTGGTATCTATTATATCTAATCCTGATCTATGGAAGAGATGGAAGAATCAAAAACAAAGAGAAGATTTTCAGAAAGGGATAGTGGAGGTATTATCTGGTATTATCTTGTATTATTTTGGTGAAAACAATATTTTTTATAGGATAACTTGTAATAGATAATGAAATAAGATTACGAGGACTTAACTAACTGTGTTGAAGAAATTTCTCTGCTCTTAGAATTTATCGCCAAATTGCATTTTGTTCCACCAAACTAAACTGCTGGAGGAAGACTGCAGGAAGTCAGCAATATTAGATATGGCAGTACAACTAAAAAGCACTAGCAGTATTCCTGTCTGTTTTACTATCGAGAAAATTGATTATTGTTGAATGAGAGAAAGAATAAGAGTCATAATTTTAATTTGCTATATTGTCATTTGTTAGTTTTGAATAATTTCTTTAGACAAATGATGAGCAGATAAATATACAGATGAAAAATGCTGTATGCCTGAGCTTTCATTTGAAGTGTTTGAATAAAATCACAATGCAACATGAAAAATACACTCTTAATAGACATAAAGAATATTTTTTAAAAAGTCATCAAGTCAGTTTTTTGATACTGCCATATCAAGTTCTGCGAATGTGACAGTTTCACTTTTAATATGATAAGAGAACAACAATGAAGGGTTAATACATATAAATTAGTTTGATATTTGACATGTATAATAAATAGGTTATTGTACATTAAATCCATATTCCTTCTAGGCCAATGCTTTGGGTTGAAAGTGGAATTTTATACTCAATATCTGCAGTGATGTGTGATTAAATAAGGAGAAAGTCATTTATTTGATTTTTATCAACAAATATTTTAACTCATGTGTCTTCTTTTTTAGGCAATAAATACAACATCCATGTGGTTACTTACTGATGGTACTAACACTGGTGTTTCTAAGATGATAGGAAATGCTATTAAGAAGGAGAAAGAAAGACGACATTTGTTAGCAGCAAATATTTCTAAGCAGCACTTAGTTTCAGACAATCTTGAGAAACTACCGAAAATAACAGCAATAGGAGTTATTCCTACTTCTAAATTGTCCTATGCTGAAGTGTTTAAAACAGAGGTTTGTAAATTGTACAAATATGGTAATGAGTGTTTATTACAGTGTTCAGGTATCTTTTATTCAAGATTTTAAGAGATTAAGTTCCGTAGCAGGAATCAAACCTGATTCAGAAATATTTGTTTCTGATGCAATGACAAATATTTGAATTTTTATACGCCCGTTTATGGGACGTATTATGGTATACCGTTGTCCGTCTGTCCATCTGTCTGTCCATCCGTTTGTCGTCAACATGTCAGACAATAACTCGCTTTAACAAAACGCTTTAACCAATTTGCATGAAACTTTGGTGAGTTGTTCATATCTATTGACGTGAGGTTTTGATTTTTATAAATTTAAGATTTTACGTTTCAGACTTATGGGGTTTTATTCATTAAAAAAGGGTGATTTTCCAGTTTTCTGACAATAACTCATAAATGCTTTGAGCAGCTTTCATGAAACTTTGGTGAATTGTTTGTATCAATGGACTTGAGCTTCCTTTCAATTTTTATAAATTTTAGATTTTACGTTTCCAAGTTGTGGGGTTTTATTCATTAAAAAAGGGGGATTTCCCAGTTTTCTGACAATAAATCAAAAGTGCTTTGACCAGTTTTCATGAGACTTTGGTGACTGATTTATTTTGTATTTACATTGTATCATAGATCAAATTTATTTGTTCAGTGTATGTTCACTGGTGTTAATATGTCTTTTGATTGAGTTAAGCCATTTCAATTGATATTTTATAGTGTGTCTTTCTATGTTGTGATGTTACACTATTGTTTCAGATAAGGGTGAAGGTTTGGTACCATTAAAACGTTTAAACCCGCTGCAATTGTTTGCACCTGTCCTAAGTCAGGAATCTGATGTTCAGTAGTTGTCGTTTGTTGATGTGGTTCATAAGTGTTTCTCGGTTTCTCGTTTTTTATATAGATTAGACTGTTGGTTTTCCCGTTTGAATGGTTTTACACTAGTAATTTTTGGGGCCCTTTATAGCTTACTGTTTGGTGTGAGCCAAGGCTCCGTGTTGAAGACTGTACTTTGACCTATAATGGTTTACTTTTATAAATTTTGACTTGGATGGAGAGTTGTCTCATTGGCACTCATACCACATCTTCTTATATCTATTATATCTATTAAAATAACATCCCTTAAGTTTTTTTTATAAATTTCTGAAATGACATTGAGGAGTTATGGAACTTTATTCTTTGAAAAAGCAACGGGCGTATCATGGGCTCATGGCACAGCTGTTTATTAATGTAAGGAATGTGCAATTCTATAGGTGATTTCAGTTTTAAATTTCGTCTTGCCTGTGACGAAAGTCCCAGTATGCGAGACATAGGGATTACTATCTGGCAGGGGCAGCGGCAGTGTAAACTATATGTATAAAGCTTTATATTTCGGAAGGTAGAAGACCTGGATGCTTTCTGTCTGTCATATGTCCATTGTCCTTGACCTCGTTTTCATGGTTCAGCAACTGCTTGAAAAAAAGTAAAGATTTTTGTTATGTGAATTTTTCACTTATTATAAGTATGGTAATAGGATCACTGTATTTGGTATATTGGTTCTTTGCAATGTCTAAATGGTGGTCAGACAGGGTTCACCTGACCTCAACCTCATTTCATGGATCAGTGATCAAGGTTAAAGTTACATGATTAGGTCTGTTTTTTCAGATACTATAAGCAGTAGGTCAACTATAATTATGTGGATGATTGTAAGGGGTACATCAGTCTTGCAGGTTTCATCTGCCCTTGACCTCATTTTCATGGTTTATTGGTCAATGTTGAGTTTTTGTGCTTTGGTCTGTTTTTCAAATACTGATATATTTGGTGTATGGAATAATTGTAAGGTGTACATGTCTGTCTGGCATGTTGGCAGGTATCATCTGACCTTGATCTCATTTTCGTGGTTCATTGGTCAATATAAAGTTGTTTTTTTTTTATTTTGGTATGTTACATCAATAACCATAAGCAATAGATCAACTATATTTGATGTATGGAATAATTGTAAGGTGTACATGTCTGTCTGACAGGATTTATCTGACCTTGACCTCATGTCATGGATCTTTAAAAATGTTAAGTTTATGTGATACTTGTAATTAAACCTTTATCTTTAACACTTTCAATATAAGATAAATCGTCAGTAAAGCAGGCAAGATATTTCAGGGTGTACACTTTTGTTATCTTTCTTTTTGGCTCATAAGACTAGTTGATAAAAGTTATAAAAATTTCATTGTTGTTCAAATCTTGTGTCTTTTTTTACTCATCTAGATAAAGGCCATTGTGAGCTTTGTTATCACTTGGCATCCACTGTTTGTTATCTTTAAACATATTCTAAGATCTTCTCCAACAAAATTAGAGAACCAATTCAATGAAATAAAACTTCACATGAATGGTCCTAAGAGTATCTAGATTAAAGTTTGTGAATGTTATTCAGTCCTAACAGAAACATTGCGACGTTGGATAAAAATAGAACAAAAATGAATGCAATTGTTTAATATCTTAATAACAACCGTAATTAATACAGATAGTTCTGAGGTTGTGGGGAAAAATGTCAAGAATGTCAAGATTTAAAAAAAAAATCCTCAGATTACTCCTTATAGAGGTTATTGCCCAATAATGACCATTTTTGATAAATTTTAGCATTTTTACCTATTAGTTTAAAAACATTAATAGAAAGGCAGAAACTTTAAACACCGTAAAGGATCAGCAATTTGAGATATATATAATTGCGAATATGGTTGACACCATAAAGTGATGGCTTATTGGAGTTATTTCCCTTACAATTACATTGTTAAGAAATTTACATTTCGCCTATTATTTTGAAAATACATGGACAGAATTTGATAAAAAGCAAAAATGATCAACAACAATAGTTCAGCAAAAAGGGTGATATGACTCAAACCATTTATTGACTACTTATAGATGTTGTCGCCCTTAAATGACACATTAAATGTTTTTTGGGCATGGAAAATTTTGTATATATATTGAGTGTATTTGAATAATATTTTCCTCCAGGATACAGAAATCAGCATTGAATTGAGTGATCAAGACAACATGTCAATGTTAGAGGAACTAAATCCTGACCTTACCAACTTTATAATGTTAGATCAGGTTAAGACTAACCAAGATGTAAATGATTATAGACTAGCTATAGAGAAAAGATTCAGACGTCCTGTTGGCAAACCAAAGCAGTACAGAAAAGTTGATGGTAAGAATTGAGTGGGCTGCATTAAGTGTCATTTATTTAGTGATTAATTTTTATTCTTAATGAAGCATTTGTGAATGTGTTGAAAAAATTATCTACTTTTCTTGAAATAGGGTTTGTAAAGCATGCTTGCTTTGATTGTAGAAGGCCACAAACCTTTCCATTTTATGGTCATACAAAAGAAAAAGAAATTGAAATTAGTAATTGGAGTTGCAGAGAAATGTATATAAATGACACATCATATCAAGGCTTTGATGAACTTTTATTATGAAATCCAGTTATTTTTTTTGTTTTAATATGAATCATGGTCTATTCATATGCTCAAATTATAGGCATTATATTTTCTTTTGTATTTGTTCAATTTATTTCCAGACACTGGATCAGGGGAAGTAATCACAAGTACGACTACTCCTCTTGTTGGTCTGCTGATTCAAGGCGGCCGGACAGATATAGAACATGTTTGTGATCTGATCAAAATAAAAGTACCAATAGTCATTCTGAAAGGAACCGGTTCAGCTGCTGATCTCTTCTCATTTGCACATGATGAAATTAAAAGAAGGTAAACATTTAACTCTACATAGGAAATTCTAAAGGAAAATTTAAAGTTGATGTGTTATTATTAAAGTTTTGGGGATTTTTTAAAAGGGAAATGCTGGAAATATAAGATAATTTGACAATTATTTGGTGACTGCATAATAAATAATTTATAATACAGTGTCAAGTTTAATATGGCAATTATTGTAAGTTTTCCATCTTGTATTGGGATTTCCTATTAAACTTAAATCCTCTGTCATATTGCTTCAAATTCAAAAACTGCTACCTATTGCCTTTAGCATGACAATAACAATAAAACTTGTATAGAAACTGTTAGACTGCTTTTTCATAATATCATTGTTGTGGAATTAAAGTTAGAGGATTGTAAGAATGCTGCATTTTATCACCTTGCACTTTCACCACTTGGCTGTGATTTTCTACAGCAGTTTGGTTAAATTTCTGACCAGTTGAACAGTTTGGTATGATAAAATAAATTACAATTTGGTCAGAATTTTAAATAAATTGCAATAGGTAGAGAGCAACACTGAGAGACAAGTCACAGTAAATAAAATATGAGAAGATAGCTCTTCTAAAATGCTTTCAGAATATCAAAAAGAAAAAATGGGGTCACTACGTTTTTTCCTGCTATAACTTAAAATAGAAAAATTTCCTGAAGATTCCTTTATAAATTATACTCTCTCTGAGTTACTTCCTTTTAATAGGCAAAGTTAAAAAAGTATAAATCAAGCAAAATCCTAATGGTATGTAGTATAAAGTTTGTATTTTTGTCCCTTCCTACCAACCAGAAAACCAACATGGCTACCATGGTTAAAAAAGATGAAAACGCTGTCCAGCAAAAATGAGAGCTAGACAAGATGTTGGCCTACGCTGTTTCCATTCAATACAAAAATTCTTATGGCATTGAATAGATTTTATGCAAAACAACCAGGTGAGTGATACAAGCTCCTTGGAGCCTCTAGTTTGAACTGTTTAAATCTAATCAATCTTTCTTTAGACCAGATGAAGAGCATGTGAATTCATACATAAAACCAGAACTTCTAAAAAGGATGATGAAGGCATTTCCTAATGAATTTAAGAATGATGTTTTAGCCAGAAATCAATGTAGAGACAGGATAGTTGAATGTTTACAGTTTTCTTTGAAGGTCTGTATTATTTGTGTGTTAGATTGAATTATTTTATATATGATAATACTTTCTTATTTCAGATTTCTAGCTATATTGTAATATGGTTCATTTACCATCATTGTTTATGAATATCTGTCCACTATGTTTGTTCTTTTTTAATTTGCAATTACCTAGATATTTTGAAGCACTTTTAGAATCATTGTTTGACATGTAGAAGTATTTTTTCTTATCTTGTTCCAATATTAATGTGTCCCAACCTCAAATTCCATATTTTCACCACTTGTTACAGGATTCATTTCCCACAGTTCCTTTGAAAAAGGTAAGTCACTAAGCTTTGTACTATTGCAATGCTTGGTATGGTCACATTGCAGTATCCAGATGACAAATTATCTATGCTGCATTTCAAATAATTGACAGAATATCTGATCAATTTCATCCTCAATTCTTCAAGCTAGGATAAGCATGATAAAAGAGTTTAGCTGAGCTTACATCGAAGACTGGACATACTGTATTTGTATGCATTTCCTCTATGTTTTCTCCTAATTTGATAAATAGTGCATCAATAGTTACTTTTGAGTTCTGACTCCCACTTAACAGTTATAATAATGTTGTTTCTATTTGTTCTTTGTTATGAAAAAGTACCTACTTTAGAATATATCAACTTCCTATGAACTCTGATGGATAGTTGTCTCATTGGCAATCATACTACATCTCCTTATTTTTATATAGTGAAGATAATGAAGAAATAAGTACAAATACAGTACTCATCTATATCACATTATCTTTTGTGATATTTTCACAATTTTATCATTTGTTCTCATCATGGTTTCTGACTCTGTGTAACAGATTGCTCTAGTGCTAGACTTTTATTCATTCTGATCTAATCTCCAAATTCTCTATATCTTCATATCTATGAATTTCACCAGTAACTCTGGTTTTGTTCCTTTTTACCAGTAATAAGTCATCAGTTATGCCCCCATCTTCCAATCATTTACAGCGTCATAAAATCTGATTTTTTTAGGATCAAATCTAACAATAGGAGTTTATTAAAGAATTAAGCACATTTTTGTGGAGTTTATTGATGATCACTCGACCAATTCACCCACATACAAATAAAAATCTTCTTGTAGGTTAGTTAGTTCAGTTTACACACCAAAAAACTCCAGAAAAAATTGATTTTAATCTTTATAATTTTTTAACTGTTTTGTAATTTGTTTATGAAAATAATCCTTAGCAGATTGCTTATATGCAGCGTAGAGTAGTATTTTCCATTTATTTGTATCAAGCATTTGAAGAGTGTATTCAACACAGGTAAAACATATTCAAGCCACCATTTTGTCTGTATTGGCCACTAAAGTAGTCTGATGAACACTGTATAAAAACAAAATAACCTGCTCCAAAAATCACTTTGGGAGGCTCTTGTAACCAATCATAGTAAAGGATTTCTAATTATGCAAATCATATAAGAATTATGACAGTATGTGATAACCATACTATAAACATAACATTACAGGTGCCTTAAATCATTAAGATAAACATTGGCTCTTCCCAATGACTTTACATTAAAGTAGTTCTAAATGATTGATATAGGAAAAACAGATTTTTAAAGTGACCAGAAAGATCCCAGATAGATCCCAGATATGTTGGACCTAAATTGAACCAAAATTAAAGCTATGAAAAGATATGATACTTTGACACAAGTTGTATTATCTTCAATACTATAATAAGTAAACACAGTTTATTATTTTAGGTTGAGCAAAATTTTGTTACAGTTTTGGACATTGATGCAGACACCAGTGTTTTAGAGAATTTAAACAAGTATATTCTTCTTGCTTTGTTTGAATGTAAGTTTAAAGGATAATTTTTCAGATCAGTTCATTTATTTACATTTTGAAACAAGATTAAAAGTGTTTTGGTTATTTTCTTTTACTGCATTGGAATTCTGACTTCATGGACTTTTTTACCTTGTGCTTTTCTTAAGATTACATTTTTTCTGCACTTTTAATGTCATAGCTCTACCTATTGAAGACACATTGACAGCAATAGATATCTCAAGCTTAGGAATCAGATGAGAACAAAAATATAGGACACAAATAATAAAACTCCAACATTTGTTTACCTTTGAACTATTATCTTGGCTAACATTTAATGGATCTATGCATGTCTTCCCTTAGAATGATGTCAGTTAATCTCAAAAGAAATATTCTTTTCATTAAGGAAATATATCTTGAGGTAGAAGTTATATAATGCCCTCTATTCTAAAGATAAATTGGCAGATGTTTATCAGTTATTGAAATGATCCTATGACATTAAAATAGTTGTCAGTGGCTCTGCTTTATAATGGCTGCCTGTTTCTTTTACTCCCTAAATATTGATCAAAATCAAAAACACTTTGACTTACGAAAGTGTTTAAGACACTAGGTGCTGTACAATATGGAGGCTATGAGAATTTTTAATCAGTTATTGTGTTTTGCTATGCTCCATAATGTCTGCCTTACTGTGTGATTTAGATAAAAAAAAAACATGTATAAAGTTTTCTCTAAAATGTACTGGTAATCAACATTGGAAGAATATCCCAAGATACATACAATAACATATATAAAAAGGATAACAGGAATTACAGAATATATTAGACAGTAGAAAAGATCACACAAAGCACCAACCATGCAAACATATATTTTGATGACAAACTCTATTGTTTACTTATTTAATGTTTCCTTTGCAGCACAAGAACCACAGAAAGGTAAAATGCTTCAAGATCAACTGCAGAAAAACTTGAAACTGACATTAGATTGGAACAGACATGATCTAGCATTATCACAGATATTCCAGAAGTATGACTGGGTTAGGATAAAGGTAATCCTGAAATTCATACTTGTGTGATATTGTTATAGTATAACTGGGTTATGATAAAGGTAATCCTGAAATTCATACTTGTGTGATATTGTTATAGTATAACTGGGTTAGGATAATAGTAATCCTGAAATTCATACTTGTGTGACATTGTTATAGTATAACTGGGTTAGGATAAAGGTAATCCTGAAATTCATACTTGTGTCACATTGTTATAGTATAACTGGGTTAGGATAATAGTGATCCTGAAATTCATACTTGCGTGACATTGTTATAGTATAACTGGGTTAGGATAAAGGTAATCCTGAAATTCATACTTCTGTCACATTGTTCTAAAACATCAGAATTAAGCTGAATTTGTAACACCATTTTCACTTTCAAGTTTTTCTGTTACAAGTTAAAAAATGCAAACTTGGTAACTTTTACTCCCAAAAATTGATCAGAACCTATTAACAGTCAAGTCATTGTACAATATGGAAGCTATCAAAATTATTTAAGGATGTTCACTTCTCTTGTTTTTGACTTTTTGTCAGATTTTCAGAATCCTCTGGTTTTATCCATGTAGTGCTGATAAAAGTTTTGCCTGCTAACATCTACTTATCTTTTCATAATTTTATTAGATATAGTTGAAAAGACCATTCTTGAAAATCTTTTAATATCCTTGTTATATTTTCATAGTTTTTGTCTTGCCTTGACGGAGTCAAAATGCGAGACATAGGTATGCTGTTTCCAGCGTCGGTGGCGGCGGCGGCCTCAACAATGTATTAGTTTGTGATTAGGTCTAGTTCATGGTGAACCACTAGTGGTAGGTCAATGATATTTGGTATGCAGTTGTATTAGCATTGGCACATTTCATTACCATGGAGATTATTTGGCCCCGCCCCCTCAGTCAAGGTCTATTGACTTCGAAACTTTGCTTAGTTTACATGTATTAGTTTGTGATTAGGTCAGTTTATGGGGAACCACTAGTGGTAGGTCAATGATATTTGGTATGCAGTTGTATTAGCATTGGCACATCTCATTACCATGGAGATTATTTGGCCCCGCCCCCTCAGTCAAGGTCTATTGACTTTGAAACTTTGCTTAGTTTACATGTATTAGTTTGTGATTAGGTCAGTTTATGGGGAACCACTAGTGGTAGGTCAATGATATTTGGTATGCAGTTGTATAAGCATTGGCATATCTCATTTCCATGGAGATTATTTGGTCCTTACCCCTCAGTCATGGTCTATTGACTGTGAAACTTTGCTTAGTTTACATGTATTGGTTTGTGATTAGATCAGTTCAAGATGAACCACTAATGTTAAGTCAATAATATTCGGTATGCAAATGTATTGGCATTTGCAAGTTTCATTTCCATGGAGATTATATAACCCCACCCCCTAATTATGGTTCTTTGACTTTGAAACTTTTACATAGTTTACAAGCTAATGTTTGTGTTTAGGTTTGTTTAAAGGGAACGACTTATGAAAAATCAATAGTATTTGGTTTGCAGTTGTATTAGCATTGGCACATCTCATTTCCATGGAGATTGTTTAGCCCTGTACCTTCAGTCATGGTTCATTGACTTTAAATATTTGCATAACTTACATGTTAAAGTATTGCTATTTTAATTTCAACATTTGCATTATCAAAATAACAAATAGGCGAGACATATCTCTGTGTTAACAGTTTATTGAAAGAAAAAAGGGGCAATAGCTAAATGTAAGAAAAATCTAGAGAGAATAATTTCCTGCCAAATATTTAAAGCTTGTATTTCAAAAACAAGGACACAGACCTTTCATTTTTATCTGTTTTTTTAGTTCCTTATTCATATGGCATTCAATTACTGTAAGGTTTACTTAGGAGGAATAAATGAAGATGTGAGGTAGACCATGATGACATCAATGTAATTCAGCTCAAAGTCTTTAATTTGTTGAAAGTAGAATTATTCATTCTAACTCTGTAATATTAAAAAGTTAATCCTTCCTAAATGTTGAAAGATTGAAACTTTGTAGTTTTCTAGGTTAACCTATTTTTTAAAGCTTAACATGGGGTTCAAGTATAATTATTATACTTCATGTCAAAATGCCAGATTCAGATTGGTTAATAAGAGGGAGAAAATTTACTCTATCCTATGGCAAATACTCTATTACCCTTCACAGAGACGCTTGATCAACTGTGCGCTTTATTAAATACGGATGGTTATTATGTACAAGACGTCATAGTTTATTACCGGTACTTTGAATTTGAAATTTAATCTACAGTAATAACAGAACATTCAGTATAATAAATTAAATAACACATATCTGAGAGGGTGATAGAGCAGATTGTTACCCCTCGAAAAGACATTATCAACCTTGGCTTCGCCTCAGTTGACAATGTTTTCTCGGGGTAACAATCTACTCTATCATCCTCTCAGCTATGTGTTATTTATATATTATTTATATTGAAAAAAATGGTATATCAACTTTGATAGTTTATACATTGTATTGTAATATCAATGAATTATTTTATGAACAGATTTCCAATAATTTGTTAGACTTAGCCATGATAAAGAAGGACAGACACAAGTTCGTACAGTTATTCTTAGACAGGGATGCGATAGAAGTGCACAAATATTTCAGCCATAAAAAGTTTCTGTATCTCATAAACCACTTTGAGGATCCAGAATTCTTCCGCACAATTTGCCTCGGAGAAATGTTGGGTTACTCACCAGTAGGTATCTTTATGATATATAACCATAACCAAATAGGCTTTAATTTTATATAAAAGTTATTTCTCACACCTACTGTTACCTGTACAGGTAACCATTACCTGATATGGTTGAACCAAACATCGTTTAAGATGGACATCAATTTGCTATAAAAACATGGGTTTTGTTCACCTGTCTCTTGTGGATCCTGCCTTAAATTGTGATTGAAACTCATTTTTACTATAATTTATTGATCCTTTTATTATTTATTACAAGAGAAATAGTTACTGTTTTTTTCTTAGCACATTAAGAGTAAAAATTGCCATGTGGATCTGATTCAAAACAATTTTTGCAAAAATTGCTGCTTATGTTGCTTATAATAGCGATGCATATTTTTTCCAGGTCAGGGAATCAGGTTTCTTGGAGCCTCTGGTTAAGTTTTATTGTTCAGTGATCAACAAGTTTCCATTATTTTAAATGTTAAAACAAGTCAAAACATATACATATGAAGGAAGCAAAGATTAAACTGAAACACAGATTCCATTGAAACTGAATCTTGAAATGCTTTGGATTTTTTTTATTATTCATAGGGTACTATAGGTGACAAAAATGTATATATGTTCTACAAAAAACATAGTTTTTTATAGGCTTGTAAGAAGAATTTGTTAAATAACTAAATCAGTTATCCAAGAAAAACAATTTTTTTTCTTAGTCCATGAAAATTGGCACAAAAATCCAAAGTATAGCTTTTTTTCATGTAATGATTTTGTATGTTTAGATTTCAGACTACCCTGTCAGTAAAAGATTTGTATATGGATACAAATGTGGAATGAATAAACTATTGTATAAAGCAACATATCTGTCACAGTTAGCTGCATTTACTGATTTTGAAGAAATTGAGGCAATGGAAAGTAATGTTTCAGCACCTGCTGTAGCTGAAAGAAAGGTTTGATCATACATATGTATAAGTAAGGGAAGTTATTTTAAGTATAAAATTAAAGTGATGTGGTATGATTGCCAATCAGACAACTATATACCAGAGACCAAAGAAAAATGATGTAAACAACAGTCTATAGGTCACCGTACGGACTTTGACAATGACCAAACCCTTAATTTATAGTTAGCTATAAAAGGCCCTGTCACGACAAAATATGAAACAATTGAAATGAAAAAAAACTAACAGCCTAATTTATGATAAAACAATAAATGAAAAACAAATATGGAAGACAGTAACCAAGGACAACCACTGAATTATAGTATCCTGACTTAGGGCAGGCACATACAGAATGTGGTGGGGTTAAACATATGTGTGTGTGTTCAATCCTCCATCTAACCTAGGACAATGGTTTAACAGCACAACAGAAGTTTCCAAATACAACTAGCTCTTTTGATTTAGAGGTTAACATAGCATCAAAGTGGTGGAGACAGATATTTATTGAAAGGAATAGTAAAATGAATTTTTAATTTTTTAGGCCTTCAATATCTTAGTTTATTGGGCAGCATTAAATTTTGATGCTGAGCTAACAAAGACATTATGGAAGAAAACTGAGGAACCAATGGCAATGGCTATTATTGTCAGTATGATCTGGCATAGCATGGCAAAAAGATGGTGTCCTGATGTTGACTTGAAAAGAAAGCTTTTGGCATCTTCAAAGTAAATATTTTATTTAAAACATCGATTTTTGGCAGAAAAACATAATTATTATTTCTTCCAGGTCTCTTGATCTGTTTATGTTTTAAGATGATTTTATACCATCACTCTAGGAATGGGACTATAGATCGTTCACCTTTACAATAAGTCTCTCGGTTTGTCCACCAGATATTTTCTTCACTCTTTTCTTAAGTTCTCTAGGACAGAATGAATTCATATTTGGTCAGCTGCTTGACAGTGATGAGTTTTAATGTTGTTACAAATGTAATGTCTAGAAACTTTTAAAAAAAAAGGAAATACTACACAAATTAATTTCTCATTGTTTGATAGTTTTTTTTATGGAAAAGCATTGAAATGTGAAATCCCATGCTATCACTTTAATATGCTAGAGGGACTGATATATTGATTAATAAGTCACCAAAGTATATTTTCATTGTGCATTTTTAGAATATATATCAACATTGACTTTGAAAGAAAATTTCAGGTAAAATTTAAATGTAGTATCTTTACTGTATTGTATGCCCTTAAAAGATTGTCATTACGAACAATTTCAAAATTATTTCTTTTTTTTTTCAGAGAATTTGGGAAAATGGCAGTTCAGTTATTAGACTACAGTTACAAAGATTCTAACATAAACACAATTGCACTATTGGATGAACGTCTAGAGGACTTTAATTTCAAGACTGTAATAGAGCTTGCTCATATGTCAAAGAATAAGCATTTTATTGCCCACTATATCTGTCAGAAGTGGCTAAGACGAAGGTGGTTTGGCAACTTACTTATTAGAAAGTATGACTGGGGACCCATTAAGATACCGAACTGGGTAAAGGTAAGTAAAAGTGTAAATCATCAGCTTTATCTTGTTTGATTCACATTTATGCCATATCTCATACAAATGTTTACTGATTTTCTTTCAACTAGTCAAGAGCTACCTAGAGGTATTTAATTGTTCTGAAATGAATTGTGCTCATTTGAAACAGCTTGCTTTTGGATGATTTTACCTCAGATTTACCCAAATTCAACCTTTTAGAGCAATCTCTGCCTTATTATTGTACATTAGAACTGTATTTTTGTTCTTCAAATTCAGTCAAATGACCAGTGATCTTCAGTACTTGCATGATTAAGTTATAGATTCAAAACAAAAATTGCAACAATTGGGCAAAGTTTACCTTAGACAGTTTGTATGTTCTGTTTAGGTCCTTTTTGTTTTGCATAGAAAATTTAGCAAGGTAAAAGAAAGTATTGGAATGGCAGTTTTATTATCTTCTTATTTCCAGGATCTTTACCTCTACATGTTTTCTTTCTAAAGACTGTTATCAAATTTTTCTTTGTTTTATTATAGATTTATTTAAGTTTGGTGCTGATATTCCCAATGTTTATCTGGATAGAATATGATTTAGCAGACAAAAAAAGGAGACAGGACAAAATAATGGATGGTGTGTATAAAATTTTACCTTTTACAAACTTATTTTAAAGAACAGTATAATTTGTATATATATCTTTCCCTATAATCCACATTTGTCCTCTTATTATAGTATTTCTGCTTAATTAGTAGTTTGTTATCTATGTGGATGCAGAAATTTTGTTTTTAATCTTATAACTTGTTCAATATCTTTTTTGTCTTTTGTATACATCCTTCAAATAATGTTCTATGATAACTTTCAAAGTGTGACTTATGACATTATCTAGTTAAAGTATTGTTCAGATTTAGATTTTAAATTGAACATTACATGTAGGTAATAAAATGCAATCACCAATATCAGAAAATGAAATAACTTTTGAGATTGAATTTCAACCTAATTAATGTTAGATGTACATGTTTGTCTGAAAGAGTTCACATTAATTTGACCACATTTTGATACTGCATTGATAAAAGTTACCCTTTTGGAATGAAGTTAGTTTCACGGTTACAAATATCAAATACTTAAACTAATTGGTGGTGAAAGATGCTTTTGAGGTCTGTTGTACTTCAAGAAAGTTCTTTGTGATACTTGAAAAGAAACTGACAAGTAAACTGACTGATAAATGATTAATGGGACAGTATTTCTATATAAAATAGTGGATTCAAACGTTTTTTAAGGGTAATTTTTTTCCATTTTTGTCTCGCCTTGACGAAGTTTAAAAGCGAGACATAGGTATGCTGTTTCCGTCGGCGGCGGCGGCGGCCTCAACAATGTATTTGTTTGTGATTAGGTCTAGTTCATGGTGAACCACTAGTGGTAGGTCAATGATATTTGGTATGCAGTTGTATTAGCATTGGCACATCTCATTACCATGGAGATTATTTGGCCCCACCCCCTCAGTCAAGGTCTATTGACTTTGAAACTTTGCTTAGTTTACATGTATTAGTTTGTGATTAGGTCAGTTTATGGGGAACCACTAGTGGTAGGTCAATGATATTTGGTATGCAGTTGTATTAGCATTGGCACATCTCATTACCATGGAGATTATTTGAAACTTTGCTTAGTTTACATGTATTAGTTTGTGATTAAGTCAGTTTATGGGGAACCACTAGTGGTAGGTCAATGATATTTGTTATGCAGTTGTATAAGCATTGGCATATCTCATTTCCATGGAGATAATTTGGCCCTGCCCCCTCAGTCATGGTCTATTGACTTTAAAACTTTTGCTTAGTTTACATGTATTAGTTTGTGATTAGGTCAGTTTAAGGGGAACCGTTAGTGGTAGGTCAATGATAATTGGTATGTAGTTGTAGAAGCATTAGCACATCTTATTTCCGTGGAGAATATTTGGTCCTTACTTCTCAATCATGGTCTATTGACTTTGAAACTTTTGCTTAGTTTACATGTATTAGTTTGTGATTAGGTCAGTTTAAGATAACCACTAATGTTAAGTCAATGATATTGGGTATGCAAATGTCTTGACATTTGCAAGTTTCATTTCCATGAAGATTATATAACCCCAACCACTAATTATGCTTCATTGACTTTGAAACTTTTACATAGTTTACAAGTTAATGTTTGTGTTTAGGTTTGTTTAAAGGGAATGACTTATGAAAAGTCAATGGTATTTGGTTTGCAGTTGTATTAGCATTGGCACATCTCATTTCCATGGAGACCTTTTAGCCCTGTACATTCAGTCATTGTTCATTGACTTTGAATATTTGCATAACTTACATGTTAAAGTATTGTAATTTTCATTTCAACATTTGCATTATCAAAATAACAAATAGGCGAGACATATCTCTGTGTTAACAGTTTATTACTCTTTTCACCTCATTTCATTAATCAACATTCTTGTGATAAGTTGATTTCTTTTAGTAACTGGCAGTATTAGGTCAACAATATTATGTCAGTAGAGACATTTAAAGTTGTACCTGTCTGTCTTGATCTCAATTTCAGATTTTATTTATTAACTTTTCTTATATCTTTTAAACCTTGATAAAAAAAACAACTTTAAACATATGATTCAGTCATAATATGTGAAGCTTGGGAGACATTTCATGATGTCCACTCTTGCATGTGGTGTGGTTTATTTTCTAAGTCTTTGAATTAAGATATTGAAGAAAAGGCTTCTAGGTTATATTTTTTGTTAGCAGATTGATTTTTTATGAACAAATTCATGCCACTAATACCATTACATTATATTAACTCAGTTAAATGTTGTAAATAGCAGTTTTTAATGTGTAAATGTTTCAATACATTTAACAGGATCAATCACACTGATTTAGTTTGATAATGTGACTAGTATTAATATAGCAAGCATGATATTGACAAATTAATTCAGATTTTTATACGACCGCAAAAAAATTTTGCGGTCGTATATTGGTATCACGCCATCATCGTCGTCTTCGTCGTCGTTGTCGTCCAAAGACAGTTGGTTTCCGGACAATAACTTTAGTATAAGTGTATAGAAATCCATGAAATTTTAACACAAGGTTTATAACCACAAAAGGAAGGTTGGGATTGATTTTGGGGGTTATTGTCCCAACAGTTTAGGAATAAGGGGCCCAAAAAGGGGCCCAAGTAGGCATTTTTGTAGTTTCCAGACAATAACTTGTGTTTTAGTGCATGAATCTCTCTGAAATTATACCACAAGTTTCCATACCACAAAGCAATGGTTAGGATTTACTTTGGGAGTTGTGGCTCAAACAATTTAGGAATTAGGGGCCAAAAAGGGGAAAAACAAGGGTTTCCTGGTTAATGGACAATTAATACAATTTTAAAGCAGTATAAGGGAGGTAATCCAAATACATTTAAAGAACAATGCTGTGTATGTTTTAGATAACCTCCTTTAGACTGCTTGTAAATTATGTATAAAGAAATAATGTATTGTCTCTAGGTGATTAGCTGTCAATTTTTTTTTAGAAGTTACTATTAATTAATATCAATTTTAGCTTTGGTTATGTACATTATTTTTCTATTTTAAGACTTTTATGATGTAATTAAATGGGTAATTATAGTTGCAAACTCCATTAGAAATTTGAATTGAGATTATGACCATATCTTGAGGGGGGGTATATAAGAAATTGTGGGAGGGGACAATTTTTTCTCATTTCAGATTTCAGAAATTAAGAAGAAAATTTCTTCAAATATTTTTTTTTTTGTTAAAAAAAGGGCCGGGGGTGAAGGTTTAATACGCAACAGCATATTGTATTGCACAAAAGCAAACAAAAGTGGGTAAATTTTTTTTAGGGGGGTGGGTCAATTCGCAACAGCAAAGTGTATTGCACAAAAGCAAAAAATTGAATATAAATTCAAAATTATATAACCAATTATAATTTCTTAGACTACAGTTATTCTGTGTCAGAAACCTATTATGTGTCAAATATTTAATTACAATCCAAATTCAGACATGTATCAAGCGCGAATATTGTGTTCATTTTTGCCCTAACTGTTCAGGGTTGGACCTCTGCGGTTGTATCCAGCTGAGCTCAGCGAAGCAATTTATTTTAACATTTTGATCAATAAAAGGAAATTTGTGTATAACATCAATGGACTACCAACCCAATTACACAAAAACCTAGAGACATCAAGATGTCAACATATGGTCTTCAATAAAAGACAAATGTCCATACAAAATGTTAAGCTAAAAATCACTCAATCTCTAGACAAGTTGTGAATAAAAATAAAACCAATCATAGATCTGCTTTTAACGCCAAGTTCCCTAAATGACAAAAACATTTTAGGAATGACTGTAATATGTTTTCTGTCTATGAAGAAATAACATAAAAAATGTGGTGCACACTGAAAAACCCGTGTAGCAGGTTATTTAAAAGTGGGCACCACATATTTTAGGTTATTTCGAATAGACAGTAAAAAATATTACAGTCATTCCTTATAATTTAATTCTGAATTCCACATTTAAGGAGTTAATCATGAAAAAAACATTGATGATGTCACGGTCACATGGACAAAATTATGTTTATGAGCTGAGACAAAAAACTTCCAGCCAATCAAAAGATATGTTACATCCAAAACTAAATTATTAAGATATAACTAAAGACAACCCCTGATGACTTTGAAGTATATTGAGTTTAGGCTAGTGTGTGTTTAACTAAGCCAGTTCCTTAAAAAGACTATGAAAACACTGATTTTACACTGATTTACATTCCATAAAAGGAAAACCATGTAAGTAAAAATATATCAGCTTCTGCATATTTATTTTTTTAAATCTTTCTATATGTTTGATTTCCAATGTTGTAAAATAAGTGATATATACATGTTGAATGCTGAGGTAAAGTTTAAAATTGCACACTGCATGTTAAATTGTTCTTTTTTAAGTTTAGGAACAACATTTTCACACCTTAGCTGTATTATTTTGGTATGTAAATACTGTAAATTCAGAAATTATTGCAATTTTTGAAGAATGGACAAAAATGCGAGATTAATTATTGCGATATCAGGAAAATTTGTGTACAGATACATTTTTCAGATATCAGAATGGGAGTTCTTATTATTGCGATCATCACCGAGTTGCATTATTGGCATTAAGTAAAACCTGGCAATAATTTCTGTATTTACAGTAGCTTAGTATGATTAACTAAGACACATGTTCTGATTAAGATTTATATACAAGAGCAACCCTTTATTAAAGTGCATACTTACAAAATCACTAATTAATATTGCATACTGTATCAGAATTTTATTTTATTTGTTATCAGAGCTTCAGTCATTTGCTTTTGTTTGATAATCTTGAAGATCAAAAGTTGTTATGCACCAGAGAAAGCATTACTGACAGGGTTGTACACAAAGTGCAAATCTGTCTCACAGTAAGGTTAATATTGCATGGGTGAGTGGGTTTGCAGCCATGTAAATAAGGTAATTGGGTTTTTTTATGCTTTATACAATGCAATGTTTAATTTTTACTTCCACTGATAAAACACAGATTAAGTTGAATTTGGGTAGTGTCACTTTAACCATTATTGAGATATGCCCCTTTATAAATTGAAAGATTGCAAAATTTTTAGTTTCCATTCTGTAACTTAAGTTTGTCCCAACCAAACATTATGAAACCTATACACAATATTCATTACCACAAAACTAAGATCAAGTACAAATTTTTTGTTTCCGTTTTCTAACTTTAGTTTGCCTCAACCAAATGTTATGAAACTTATACACAATGCTTATTACTACATAATACAGATTAAGTACGAAATTTGGTGGCGACACTTTTACCATTCTTGAGTTATGTCCCTTTATAAACATAAAATTGCTGAATTTTTCATTTCTGTTCTCTTACTTAAGTTTGTCTCAACCAAATGTTATAAAACTTATACACAACCGTTCTAGAGTTATGCGTGTTTACAAATAGAAAAATTGCTGAATTTTTCGTTTCTGTTCTCTACTTAAGTTAGCCTCAACCAAATGTTATGAGACTTACACACAATGCTTATTACCACAAAACTCAGATCAAGTTCAAATTTGGGTAGCGTCACTTTTACCGTTCTTCAGTTATGTCCCTTTATAACTATATGATATGCAAGCGGGGGCATCATCTGTGTGCACATGTGGACACTGCATTGAAGACCTGTTGGTGACCTTCTGCTGTTGTCTGTTCTATGGTCGGGTTGTTGTCTCTTTGGCACATTCTCCATTTCCATTCTCAATTTTACTATCCACATTTATTTGTAATTAACTTCGCCAACAATTTACAACCCTCAACCTTCAAAATTTCTAAAATGCCTGTTTATTCATTGAAGATGTGCATTTCACTTTGAGTACACTTTTGGAAATTTTTTGCAGATTTCCTGAAGGGTAAACATAGTAAATTTTTTGCAGATTTTCGATGAAAGGTACTTTTCCTATTTTGTGTAATCAACTCCTGCCATAGCCTTTTAGGTTTCTAGAATTATTGCATACTGTAAACCAACTAATTCTGGCAAGCAATTTATTCAAGCAACTTTTCAAGTAAAACTTATATAAATACATCAGTAAAGTTAGAAAACGTGACAAAATAAATCCTTTTGATGTGAAGACCTCAGTAACCAGAAGGACAATAAGTTTGTTACTCGGTATGTATAGGTATATCTAAGGGAGTCAACTCTGTTTTCCATGATGAAGGTCATGTGACCAATATTTTATGGAAGGTTTATGTCTAAGTTTTTGTTGGTTAAATTTTACATGTTTACTTCCTGAGTTCATATCTCTTGCTATAAGTAAAAAGATCATCTTAATTTGCTTAAAGATGCAATTATGGGAGCATCCATGCAGAAGTAGGTCACTGTGACATTCATTTCACACTTAATGGACCCTGTTTAAGTTTAACATTGGAGTCCATATCACATAAACAGACAAATCTAAGTAAAAGATCATCTGAACTTGTGTAAATGATTTTTAGTAGTAGGTCAGCATCAGGCAAAATTATGTAACTTTGAACTAAATTTCAAGCTGCATAGAGTTAAGATTTACATTGGAATTCTTATATCATTATATTTAATAGGATAATCCAAATTTGTGTAACTATGCATTTGAGGAAGTAGGTCAGCATCCAGGCAAAAGTAGGTCACCCTTGACCAACATTTCGAATTCCATTGACTTTGGATAAGTTTTACATCTGAGTTTATATCTCTTTCAGTATTAGTAATGAGATCGTTCTAACTGCGTAAAAATGCATTTTTGGAAGTATGTCAGCATTCAGGCAAAAGTAGGTCAATGTGACCCCCATTTTACACTCCGTTGACTGGTGAAGTTTTATGTTGTAGTTAATATCTCAGTAACTTTAAGGAAATAGGATCCTTTAAATTTGTGTAGAGTTGTATCTTTTGGAGTATGTCAGCATCTAGGCAATAGTATGTCACTTGTCATCTGTCGTTGTTGTACATCGTCTGTTCAATTTTTCAAAAAGCTTTTTTGCTCCTCTTCTGAAATTACAGATTAAATTGGAAACAAACTTGGCCACAATCGTTATTGAAATATCTAGTTTTATAAATGTGTCAGATGATCCTGCCTTCAAACAAACATGGCTGACATGACTAAAAATATCAGATAGGGCTAAAATGAGGGTTTTACCTTTTATCTTGAAAACTATAATAAATAGAAAGAAACTTTAAAAAGAATAATGATCAAAAAGACAAGACCTACAAAAGTTTTACGGAAAAATCTTCCCATATTAAATTTCTGGTGGGGAGATTTTCATAACAACTTTTATTATTAAACAAACATTTATTAGTTTCATTAAAACTAATCTCCTGAAAGGATCGATATATTTAAATATTATGTCTTATGGATTTAGCTGACATTGATTTGTTATATAAACATGTACATGTACAACCTTTTTTATGTACATTTATATAGCTATATAATGAAAATTTTAAATGAAAAACCAGCAATTATAGTATATATACAACCATTTGGTTATTATAGGAGATTTTATCTCTATTGAAGAAACATGCCTTATGTGGGAGATTAAATGTGAATCAGGAAGGTAATTAACAGCTCTGAAACCTCTAACACATCACAACACTGTTCAGTAACATTTATGTCCCTGTGACCTTTATCTTATGCATGAGTAACTTTGTTAATGTTTTTGCATCTTGGTTCATATCTCAAAAGAATGGTTGTGTTGAGAGAAACTTTGTTTTTAACATCATTTATCAGTTATGTAAAGTAAAAACAATCCTACAATATGAGTATCGCCATGACATACATTTTTATTTTTTCAACTACTTTGTTTATTTCAAGGACAAAGGTGTATTAAGGGACATATTAGGCTTATAAAATCATACCATTCTATATTCAGATGCATGAAAGATATGTTCAAAGTCTTTACTGTAATGTCTTTCAAATATTAGCATTTTTTATTAAGATTTTAAGGTCGAAAGAAGGAAAAAGAAAACTTTGTTTTCAAAATGGCAAAATCATTTTGTTTTTTGGATATTTTTATTTGAAAACAATGGGCATATGTAAGAACAACATGAATTTTTTTGAATGAGATGTTATTTGTATAGACAAACAATTTGGTAAATTATTGAGATGGTTCTCAAATGCACTCAGTGGTTGCTAATAAAAATTGTTTGCTTTTTATTCCTAATTTAACTGTAAATAATGCTTTAATTGTATCATTTAGGAAAATCTCACTTGGTATTTGTAGTACATATCTTGCCATAGTAGTCTGCCATATCAATTGAACTATTTGTGTGTTGTCTTAATAGATGTTATATTCCTTGAATCAAATGAAATGTAAAGAAAGGCAAGATACAAAAAAACATAAAAAATACCAATGGGACATTCAAAACTCCTAAGTTGAAGAAAAACTGACAACACTAGGCAAAAAAAAAATGTTACGAATATATGACCAAATCCACCAACACTACATAGAAAACTAAAGATTGATCAACATGAACCCCACCAAATACAGGGATAAACTCAGGTGCTCCAGAAGGGTAGGCAGTTCCTACTTCACATGTGGCACCTGTCATACTGCTCAATACTTTGATGACTAATACCTAAGAGCATGACCAAATGACAGTGGCATTGTCATAAGTTGAACTGATAGCTCAAACATATTGCTAGCTGTGAAACTGTTGTTCTTTTGGTCCTTGTAATAAATTTTTTGACAATTTGCAGACGTCTCCATATCGTCAAAACAAATATCACAAGGACCAAAAGAGCTACGGTTCCCCTGCTTACATTTTCCAGTAACAGCAATTTCAAGGTTGTTATGTTGTTATCATGGTTATAAGGTCAATATAATAGGAGTATTTTTTGGATGTTGATGATAAAACATCACTAAATATATTTTTTCTGTGACTGTTTTGGAGCTCTCCAGCATGCAGTCCAACTTAAATTTTCCTGAAATAACCTGCATTTTTAAAGATGTGGTATGTTATTTCATAGTGTATTGCTTTTAGGACACCTGTTAGCTGTATCTCAATTTTTAAGTCTTCTGAAATATAGGGATGTTTTGTGATCCTTTTTAATTCGATATTGATTTTAAATACCTAATAAAATATATATATATTACAGATGATTACGATGAACAGACAGTGAAAGATGTACCATTAGCTAGCCACCATAGACCTGTTTTTGTTGATGACTGGGTAAGATTCATACAAGTTTAAAAATGTTTTCACTTTATGTATGTGTAAGTTTAGCTGTTTTAAAGGATGGGGAAAAATTGTGTAAAGCATAAAATTGTTAAATGATGTATTATTATGTACAGTTTCATTATGATTGCCCCCTTTGATAGTAAAACCTTGTCTGATTTGTGTCCTGCGACTAACTTTTGTACCGTAAAATTTACAGTGACAAAACTTTGTATGAAGAAGCATCATAATGATATTGACTTTGATTTTGACCCCTATGATAGTAAAAAATTGTCTGATTCATAAATAGTGTATAACTTTTGTACCATAGCACTAAGATTTACAAAACGTTTTATGCAGAAGTATCTGATGGGATCGGGATGTATCGAATACCAAAATCAAGTCACTCTGACTTTAATCTTGACCCTTGACCCCTCTGATAGTTATTTGTGTTCTGGGCATAACTGTTATATTGAGGCCTTAGGTCAACCAAACTAAGTCAAACTAAGTGTGCAGATGCATTATGGGTAGGTGATTTGTAAGTAAGATTAGGTCATTGTGGCTTTAACCCTTGACTCCAAAAAATTTGATTGACCTTTAACATTGATGATATCAGAAAAAATGGATGTGGAATATCCAGCAAATATCAAGTTTGATTGTAAATTGCATTAAATGATTATATAAATTAAATGGCTGAAAGGCGAAAATCTCAAAATGTCATTGTCTCAATATTGAATTTCACCACAGCAAATTCAGGGGGGTTGTATGAGTCCTACTATGCCAACAGTTCTATTTTCATTTGTTGGAAATAATTTCATATTATACAATTAAAGTATCTGTATGCAATGTGATACCTTGAACATCATACAAATATCCATTAATTTAAGATGTTTAATATAAAAGTGGGTCTTTATTTTTACCTATATTAACTTCACTTTGGTTTTAATTTGATAATATTGTAATCATTACATTTTTGTTCTTACATGAGGATAAATGTAGTTATATTTTCTTTTTCTTTATTTTTTTAGCTCACCTGGCCCGAAGGGCCAAGTGAGCTTTTCTCATCACTTGGCGTCCGTCGTCCGTCGTCGTCGTCGTCCGTTGTCGTTAGCTTTTTACAAAAATCTTCTCCTCTGAAACCACTGGGCCAAATTTAACCAAACTTGGCCACAATCATCATTAGCGTATCTAGTTTAAAAAATGTGTCCGATGACCCCGCAAACCAACCAAGATGGCGGCCATGGCTAAAAATAGAACATAGGGGTAAAATGTAGATTTTGGCTTATATCTCTGAAACAAAAGCATTTAGAGTAAATCTGACATAGGGTAAAACTGATTATCAGGTCAAGATCTATCTGCCCTGAAATTTTCAGACAAATCTGACAACCTCTTGTTGGGTTGCTGCCCCTGAATCGGTAATTTTAAGGAAATTTTGCAGTTTTTATACGACCGCAAAAAAATTTTTGTGGTCGTATATTGGTATGACGTTGGCATCGTCGTCGTCGTCCGAAGACACATTAGTTTACGCACTCTAACTTTAGTTTAAGTGAATGGATCTCAATGAAATTTTACCATAGGGTTCAATACCACAAAAGGAAGGTGGGGATTGATTTTGGGGGTTATGGTACCAACAGTTAAGGAATTAGGGGCCAAAAATAAGCCAAAAATAAGCATTTTTGTAACTTCCAGACATAACTTGTGTGTAAGTGTATGGATCTCTCTGACATTGTACCACAAGGTTCCATATCACAAAGGGAATGCTGGGACTGATTTTGGGGGTAATTGCCTCCAAATTTTAGGAATTAGGGGCCAAAAAGGGGCCAAAAACAACCATTTTTCTAGTTTCATGACAATAACTTGTGTGTAAGTGTATGGATCACTCTGACATTGTATCACAAGGTTCCATATCACAATGGGAATGCTGGGATTGATTTTGGGGGTAATTGCCTCCAAATTTTAGGAATAAGGGGCCAAAAAGGGGCAAAAAACAAGCATTTTTCTAGTTTCATGACAATAACTTGTGTTCAAGTGTATGGATCTTTCTGAAATTGTACTACATTTGTACAAGGTTCCATATCACAAAGGGAAAGCTGGAATTGAGTTTGGGGGTAATTGCCCAAAAAGTTTAGGAAAAAGGGGCCAAAAAGGGGCCAAAAATAAGCATATTTCTAGTTTCCAGACAATACACTGCTGTTTCAGAAAAAGGGTGAAGGTTTAGTACCATTAAAACGTTTAAACCCGCTGCATTTGTTTGCACCTGTCCTAAGTCAAGAATCTGATGTTCAGTAGTTGTCGTTTGTTGATGTGGTTCATAAGTGTTTCTCGTTTCTCGTTTTTTATATAGATTAGACCGTTGGTTTTCCCGTTTGAATGGTTTTACACTAGTAATTTTTTGGGGCCCTTTATAGCTTACTGTTCGGTGTGAGCCAAGGCTCCGTGTTGAAGACCGTACTGTGACCTATAATGGTTTACTATTATAAATTTTGACTTGGATGGAGAGTTGTCTCATTGGCACTCATACCACATCTTCTTATATCTAATAACTTGTGTTCAAGTGTATGGATCTCTCTGAAATTGTACTGCAAGGTACCATACCACAAAGGGAAGGCTGGGATGGATTTTGGGGGTAATTCCCTCAAAATTTTAGTAATAAGGGGCCATAAAAGGGCAAAAAAACAAGCATTTTTCTAGTTTCAGGACAATAACTTGTGTGTAAGTGTATGGATCTTTATGAAATTGTACTGCAAGGTTCCATAATACAATGGGAAAGCTGGGTTTGAGTTTGGGGGTAATTGCCCTAAATGTTTAGGAATTTGGTGCCAAAAAGGGGCCAAAAAACAAGCATTTTTTCTAGTTTCCAGACAATAACTTGTGTTCAAGTGTATGGATCTCTCTGAAATTGTACTGCAAGTTACCATACCACAAAGGGAAAGCTAGGATTGAGTTTGGGGGTGATGAATCATAAGGGGGTTCAAAAAATTGGGGGGGGGGGGATTTTTTTTTTTTTTTTTCTTTAAAATTTTCCATTTTAAATTGGTTATTTCTGATTTATATATAAAAGCAAATAATAATGATATGGTTTGAATAGGTAAATTAAAATTTTTTAAGTTCTTAGACCACTTTTATTCTGTGTGAGAAACCTATGCTGTGTCAAATATTTAATTACAATCCAAATTCAGTGCTGTATCAAGCTTGAATGTTGTGTCCATACTTGCCCCAACTGTTCAGGGTTCGACCTCTGCGGTCGTATCAAGCTGCGCCCCAGCGGAGCATTTTATTGGTTATTATCTTGAATATTATTATAGATAGAGATAAACTGTAAACAGCAATAATGTTCAGCAAAGTAAGATCTACAAATAAGTTGTCATGACCAAAATTGTCAGTCGACCCCTTTAGGAGTTATTGCCCTTTATAGTCAATTTTTAACAATTTTTTGTAAATTTTTGTAATCTTTTACAAAAATCTTCTTCTCTGAAACTACTGAGACAAATTTAACCATACTTGGCCATAATCATTATTAGGGTATTTAGTTTAAAAAATTCGTCCGAAGACCCTGCCTTCCAACCATTATGGCCGACTTGGTTAAAAATAGAACATAGGGGTTAAATGCAGTTTTTGGTTTATATCTCTGAAACTAAAGCATTTAGAGCAAATCTGACGGTGGAAAAAATGTTCATCAGGTTTAGATTTATCTGCCCTGAAATTTCAGACGAATCCGACAACCCGTTGTTGGGTTGCTGCCCCTGAGTTAGTAATTTTACAGAAATTTTACAGTTTTTTGTTATTATCTTAGATATCATTATAATATCTAATATCTAATACTATTAATTATGATTTTAACCTTATTTTACATGATTTCCAAAGCATCAGTAAATACAGGTAAGAGACACAGGCTCTTGAGAGCCTCTAGTTTTATAATATCATACATTGTATTCAATCAGATAGTAAAACCTACAGAAACAGTTGCCTTTAAAATGAGAAGTGTTTGGCAGTATGGAAGAGAGAGATTGAAGGTTCCAATACATTTACAGTTTTATTATTTATGGAGTGCACCCATCACCAAGTTTTGGCTTAATCAGGTACTGATGTAGATATTTTTCTAAAATATGTGTTGTAAGTAAATCATACCTGCCAACCTCTAAAACCTTCAAAGAGGGAGATAGATCTCCCCCTCAGCTATGACAGCTGAGGGGGAGATTTTGCGCGAACGACATTTTCAAGTTAAATATATGACTTGTTTGTGTATTCATCTACAAAACACCAATAAGAGTTAATAAATATACTTTATTTCTTCAATTCATGGTTATTATCTATACAAGGTGTTTTTTTTAGCCTTTTCCAATACCTCCGAGTCTCATAACTCATAACATTCCATATTTTGATTTTGTTGTGAGTCTCACACTAAGCATGCTTTCAAACATTGTACAGACCACCAGAAGAAATCGAAAACATGATGTGCAAAAAGATTCATTGCCAAGTGAACTTGGTCATAAAAATTGAAAAATCTTTCATTCAAATCTGCTTGACATTGCGATTTGCAGTTATCTATTTCTTCTTTTTTACACTGCCGCTTGGTCCAGACAAAAACCTCTACCTTGTTGGAGTTGACATAGCAGAACTGAATTTCGATTACTTGTATATCGAACATAAAAACTACTGACCAAAGTTTTCAAATGATTGCCGATTGTTTATTTATTTCTATTAAAAGTAATGAAAAAGCCAGAGAATTATGAACGCGGGTTATTCCAGGTCAAAATATCTGAAAGCAGGAGATTCTATACTCCCTCGCGGGAGGGGACCAGTAAGCGGGAGATTCCCGGAATTTCGTTGTTTGCGCGGGAGACTCCCGCTCAAATGGAAGGGTTGGCAGGTATGAAGTAAATAGTAAATATCTGAAGAGGGAGGTTCTTGTGAACATTCTTTAATTATTGTTATCTAAATGGGTAATCTCTCTTTATGCTTGTTGCCCCTGCAAAATTAACAGTATTTTTCAGAATAATGGCACAGTAAATTGGAAGTGTTTACAAATTTAAATGGAAAATCTGTCTTTTTGATTGTTAGTGGGAAATATTGAAAACTTTATTGTGAATTATATATATCAGAATTCTATTGTAGTCATTTCAAATACTGTAAATTCAGAATTTATTGCAATGTTTTTATTAATACGAAAATTATTACAGTAATGAAAACTCTCATTTATAATTTCATTGGAGATTTTCCATCATAAAATATTCGCAATCACATTACTAGTAATTAAATTTCACTTTTGTGCCAGAAATCAAGGATTCAAAATAATAAATGTATGCATTAATTTCAGGATTTGCAGTATTAAAATTGTGAAATTAAAGTTTGATTTCTCAATAAATGAATAATTTTTTTATGCTTAATTTGTGCATTTGCACAATACATAGTAAAAATAAGCCTTGCAATGCGAAAACTCATAAATTAAAAAAAACTGGTCATTACATTGCTTGAAAATTACACATGGTATTAACAAAAGTAATCCAAGAATGTTAAATAAAAAAATGTTGTCCTCCCTCGAAATAAAAACTAAAGGCATATACATGAACCTTTTCTCTTAGACAGGCATATCTTTTCTGTCATGTTTTAAAGGTGAATACAGTTTCAGGGATACATGTACCGGTATATCTTTTTTGTTATCTATTGAAATTTTTTCTTGGAAATTTATTAATTAAGAGAAATTGATAAAAACATATTAAAGTATTATTTCCATAACATATATCATATATGTGCTTAATTTTTTGATTACAGGTTTTTTATATCATGTTCCTGATTTTATTCAGTTTGGCCACATTGTACCCATACTGTGGTATATTTTCTCTTGATATTGCTGTATTTAGCTGGATTTTAATGATATGGGCAGAACTTGTAAGAACCACATTTGTTAAAAGAAAGGTAAGTGAATAAGAGGTTATAATTAGGTCACTTTTATTTGGCCTCTTTAATAAAAAATGTCAAAGTATTATAAATTTATCAATTAACATCCCCCAGACATTAGTCGATCAGATAAGAGAAAAAATGTATTTGAATTTTGTTTTACATATTTGCTGTAAGCCCTCATAATGAAATAGAATACTGCAAAAACATGGATAATTTCCTGATTTCCAGATCTTTCCATTCATATTAAGTTATGAGCAACAGCCTTACCTAAAAAAAATATTTTGCCACAAGGTGTCTATTACAAAGATGTTTTTGATGTGAAATATCTTTTTAGGCAAGGATGTTGCTTATATTCAATTAACTAAATGGCTGTTTTTTGGTAAAATATATCAATTGTAACTTCTGTGACATTAAAAATTGCATTTCAGCACTAAAATGACCAGACTTTATCATCTGCTTTAATTTTCAATAAAATTAACATAATTTTAAAGGGTTAAGGAATTCTTCAATGATTGAATTTCAGGGGCAACCTTATTGATGTTTTGGAATGATTTCGGTACAATTTGTCTTCATTTCATAATGTGTAAATAGTAACAATGTATGCATCTGGAACTGGAATCTGAACTTTCAACTATGAACTGAAGGAGAGTTAATTTGAATGTTGACTGATTTTTGTTGAGCCTGCGACTTTTGTCGCAAAAGCGAGACATAGCGATTCTACATTCCGTTGTCGGCGGCGGCAGCATCGTCCACAAATATTCACTCTGTAGTTAAAGTTTTTGAAATTTTAATAACTTTCTTAAACTATCCTGGATTTCTACCAAACTTGGACAAAAGCTTGTTTATGATCATAAGATAGTATCCAGAAGTAGATTTTGTAAACAAAAAAATCCTGTTTATCCCTATTTTACTTATAAATGGACTTAGTTTTTCTGCCATTAAACATTACATTCACTCTGTGGTTAAAGTTTTTAAAATTTTAATAACTTTCTTAAACTATCCTGCATTTCTACCAAACTTGGACACAAGCTTGTTTCTGATCATAAGATAGTATCCAGAAGTAAATTTTGTAAAATAAAAATCCTGTTCATCTGTATATTACTTATAAATGGACTTAGTTTTTCTGCCAGTTAACATTACATACAGTCTGCAGTTAAAGTTTTTAAAACATTTATTAGATTCATAAACCATCCTGGATTTTTACCAAACTTGGATAGAAGCTTCTTACAATCAAAAGATAGTATCTAGACGAAAATTTTTAATAATTTTTCCCCATTTTTGTTGAGCCTGCAACTAACAGCAATAGTAGGCGAGACACTGGGTTCTGCGGAACCCTTACAAATTTTTTTATAACTAATTTTAATTATGTATAAATTCTGAATTGATTGCCAATGTCTTTAATGAAATGATTTTATTTATCATTGCAGAAATACAAAGAAATGGATTTGTTTTGGACAATAATTGAAATATTTGTGATGGCCTTTTTATTGATGGTCATATTGACTGCAAGGATACCACAGTATTTCAAGCCCTTCTTTACCTATCTGACGACTAAGTTTATAATGAGTTTAGGTCTGCTCTATTTCTACTACAGAGTGTTGGTTGTATTTTTACCTATTAGTTCAGTACTTGGACCTATGCTCATCAGCATTAAAAGAATGGTAAGAATGCTGAAGTTTCATAATTGTTTTTAAAAGTACTACTGGTAGACTATTTATTGATGATTTAAAGTCAAGTTGAAGCTATTGTATTAGTCCTATAAAATGTTAACTTTTGGCATTATTTTTGGGTCTAGATATTTTATGATTTTCAATCATTACTGTTGTATTGTGATAAAATTTCCCCAAATTTAGTTTGTGTATGCATAACATTTTTTGGTGATAAACTGTGAATGGGGAAGTTATTCCAGATTCTAAAAGGTTTTTTTTCTGAATTATGAAAATAAAATTTGTAGAAGAATATTTGAGATTTTCTTTAATAACAAATATCACAGATTGTTATTACCAGATTAAAAAAATATTTATGCTATCATATTTCAGGTAAAACATGACTTTCTGACATGGTTTAGGATGTATCTGATCATCATGGTATCAGGTGCTATTACCATGCACGCAGTTCTGTATCCAAACTTTCCCCTGGAGCCTGAAGGAATACGAGTTGCACTGTCTAGAGCTTTCTTTGCTATGTTTCTTACAAAAATAGATGATTTAGAAGGTAGGTTACTTATCCCATTCCTTGGTAATGTTTCTAAAGAGTTATTGATAAATAGCATTTAATACAGTCATGACAGTGATATGTGTAATGATAATAACTGGCCTAAATAACAAGTGGCAAAATAGTGAGGTAATTTATAGTGTTGTCAATGATTAACCGTCAGAAGGACTGAATATCAAATACCATAAAATTTAACTATTGTCTATCAGCTTGTGGCAAATCTAAAGTAAACATCATTTATACTGAATAGGTGGGTATTTATAAGTAACTACTGAAGAATTGTAATATAACAATAACAAGATGAGGTATAATTGCCAATGAGACTACTATCCACCAAAGTTCATATAAAGTGGTTGTAAGCAATTAAAGGCAACGGTATGGCCTTCAACAATGAGAAAAAAACTGTCAGTTGATCAAAGATTAAGATTAAGTGCATTATTTCCCTTTAGTTTAATATTGTGTGGACGTAAATGTAGAAATAGCAATCATCCACATCACAGGCTTGGTCATATTTCAAACAAAGTACTGTTTCGAAAATTTAAAAAGCCAAATTTAATGTATACTGGTCGTACCGTTAACCTGCAGACATGAACATTACAGAAAGATCTAGAAAAGGATGCCACGATCACCTCAATCCATTGTATTATATAAACATGCATTCCTAAAGAACTGTAGACATTGTCTGCGAACATCAACTTTAGAACCAGTTAATTGGTCAGAAGATAATCCAAGTAACTGGTTAGTTAAAAATGTTTGATTTAAGAACGCTAGTAATAAAATATATATCCAGCTGGAATGTAATACACATTTGTAGATTTTTATGCCCCCGCAGTAGCAGAAGGGGCATAAAGTTTTACCCTTGTCCGTACGTCCGTCCGTATGTCCCAAAATTGGTTTCCATTCTCTAACTTGAGTTTGCCTCAACCAAATGTTATGAAACTTATACACAATGCTTATTACCACAAAACACAGATCAAGTTTGAATTTTGGTGGCGTCACTTTAGCCGTTCTAGAGTTATGCCCTTTATAAATGGAAAAATTGCTAAATTTTTATTTTCATCTAAATATCAAGTAATTTTTATACGACCGCAAAATATTTTTGCGGTTGTATATTGGTATGACGTTGACGTTGGCGTCTTCGTCGTCGTCGTCCAAAGACCCATTGGTTTTCGCACAATAACTTTAGTTTAAGTGAATGGATCTCTATGAAATTTTACCATAAGGTTCAATACCACAAACTGAAGGTTGGGATTGATTTTGGGGGTTATGGTACCAGACAATAACTTGTGTGTTAGTGTATGGATCTCTCTGACATTGTACCACAAGGTTTCATATCACAAAGGGAATGTTGGGATTGATTTTGGGGGTAATTGCCTCAAAATTTTAGGAATTAGGGGCCAAAAAAGGGGCAAAAAACAAGCATTTTTCTAGTTTCATGACAATAACTTGTGTGTAAGTGTATGGATCGTTCTGAAATTGTACTATAAAGTTCCATACCACAAAGGGTCAGCTGGAATAAAGTTTGGGGGTTAATTGCCCAAAACATTTAGGAATAAGGGGCCAAAAAGGGGCCATAAATAAGCATTTTTCTAGTTTTCAGACAATAACTTGTGTTCAAGTGTATGGATCTCTCTGAAATTGTAGTGCAAGAGTGCAAGGTACCATACCACAAAGTGAAGGCTAGGATTGATTTTGGGGGTAATTGCCTCAAAATTTTAGGAAATAAGGGCCAAAAAGGGGCAAAAAACAAGCATTTTTCTAGTTTCAGGACAATAACGTGTGTGTAAGTGTATGGATCTTTCTGAAATTGTACTACAAGGTTCCATATCACAAAGGGAAAGCTGGAATTGAGTTTGGGGGTAATTGCCCAAAACGTTTAGGAACAAGGGGCCAAAAAGGGGCCATAAATAAGCATTTTTCTAGTTTCCAGACAATAACTTGTGTTCAAGTGTATGGATCTCTCTGAAATTGTACTGCAAGGTCACATACCACAAAGGGAAGGCTGGGATTGAGTTTTGGGAGTAATTGCCTCAAAATTTTAGGAATTAGGAGCCAAAAAGGGGCCAAAAAGGGGCAAAAAAATAAGCATTTTTCTAGTTTCAGGACAATAACTTGTGTGTAAGTGTATGGATCTTTCTGAAATTGTACTACAAGGTTCCATATCACAATGGGAAAACTGGAATTGAGTTTGGGGGTAGTTGCCCAAAATGTTTAGGAATAAGGGGCCAAAAAGGGGCCATAAATAAGCATTTTTCTAGTTTCCAGACGATAACTTGTGTTCAAGTGTATGGATCTCTCTGAAATTGTACTGCAAGGTACCATACCACAAAGGGAAGGCTTGGATTGATATTGGGGGTAATTGCCTCAAAATGTAGGAATTATGGGGCCAAAAAGGGGCAAAAAACAAGCATTTTTCTAGTTTCAGGACAATAACTTGTGTGTAAGTGTATGGATCTTTATGAAATTGTACTACAAGGTCCCATATCACAAATGAAAAGCTGGATTTGAGTTTTGGGGTAATTACCCTAAACGTTTAAGAATTTGGGGCAAAAAAGGGGCAAAAAAACAAGCATTTTTACAGTTTCCAGACAATAACTTGTGTTCAAGTGTTTGGATCTCTCTGAAATTGTACTGCAAGGTACCATACCACAAGGGGAAGGCTGGGATTGAGTTTTGGGCTGATGAATCATAAGGGGGTTCAAAAAATTGGTGGGGTTTTTTTTTTTTTTCCTTTTTTTCCCTTTTTTTTTTCTTTAAAATTTTCCATTTTACGTTGGTTATTTTTGATTTATATATAAAAACAAATAATAATGATATGGTTCGATTTCATCAAAAATTGAAATATTGGGGTTCTTTGATATGCTGAATCTAACTGTGAATTTAGATTCTTAATTTTTGGTCCCGTTTTCAAATTGGTCTACATTAAGGTCCAAATGGTCCAAAATTAGACTTAGTTTGATTTTAACAAAAATTGAATTCTTGGGGTTCTTTGATATTCTGAATCTAACCGTGTATGTATTAAGATTTTGGATATTGGACCATAAAAGGTAAATTAGAAATGTTTAAGTTCTTAGACCACATTCATTCTGTGTCAGAAACCTATGCTGTGTCAAATATTTAATCACAATCCAAATTCAGAGCTGTATCAAGCTTGAATGTTGTGTCCATACTTGCCCCAAATGTTCAGGGTTCGACCTCTGCGGTCGTATCAAGCTGCCCTCCAGCGGAGCATTTTATTAAAATTGGAGTTATCTTTCCTTTGTCCATGATTATAGTTAAATCAACTACAGTCAATGCTTAATACAATGCAATGTTTAATTTTGACTTCCACTGATAAAACACAGATCACGTTGAATTTGGGTAGTGTCACTTTAACCATTATTGAGTTATGCCCCTTTATAAATCGAAAGATTGCAAAATTTTTAGCTATCATTCTGTAACTTAAGTTTGCCCCAACCAAACATTATAAAAACCTATACACAATATTCATTACCACAAAACTAAGATCAAGTACAAATTTTTTGTTTCTGTTTTCTAACTTTAGTTTGCCTCAACCAAATGTTATGAAACTTATACACAATGCTTATTACTACATAATACAGATTAATTACGAAATTTGGTGGCGACACTTTTACCAATCTTGAGTTATGTCCCTTTATAAACATAAAAATTGCTGAATTTTTTAGTTTGTCTCAACCAAATGTTATAAAACTTATACACAACCGTTCTAGAATTATACGTGTTTACAAATAGAAAAATTGCTGAATTTTTAGTTTCTGTTCCCTACTTAAGTTAGCCTCAACCAAATGTTAGGAGACTTACACACATTGCTTTTTACCACAAAACTCAGATCAAGTTCAAATTTGGGTAGTGTCACTTTTACCGTTCTTCAGTTATGTCCCTTTATAACAATATGATATGCAAGCAGGGGCATCATCTGTGTCCACATGTGGACACTATCCACATTTATTTTAACAATTGAATCCCTACATATTTTTTACAGAAAAAGCTTTATTTCAGGGCTTGATAAACCAAGTAGCTAAACTAAAAGGGATTTTTTTTGTGGTTTAGAATGTTTAATTGAAATATATATTTATTGTTTTATTATAGGTGCACCATGTTCCAATGTTTATGCAAATACTACAGTAATTGGTCATTGTTATAGTAAGTTCTAATCTATATTTTAATCAAAAAGGTACATTTCTAGGCATGATGAGTCCATGTAAATTCACCAAAAATAAAACTGTAAGGATGCTGCTATTGATCCCATTTTTGTCTCGCCTTGACGGAGTCAAAAAGCAAGACATAGGTATGCTGTTTCCGTCATTAGTGGCGGCGGCGCAGCAGCATCAACAATGTATTAGTTTGTGATTAGGTCTAGTTCATGGTGAACCACTAGTGGCAGGTCAATGATATTTAGTATGCAGTTGTATTAGCATTGGCACATCTCATTTCCATGGAGATTATTTGGCCCTTCCCCCTCAGTCATGGTCTATTGACTTTGAAACTTTTGCTCAATTTTCATGTATTAGTTTGTGATTAGGTCAGTTTATGGGGAACCACTAGTGGTAGGTCAAATATATTTGATATACAGTTGTATAAGCATTGGTATATCTGATTTCCATGGAGATTATTTGGCTCCGCCCTCTCAGTCATGGTCTATTGACTTTGAAACTTTTGCTTAGTTTACATGTATTAGTTTGTGATTAGGTCAGTTCAAGGGGAACCATTTTGGTAGGCCAATGTTAATTGGTATACAGTTGTATAAGCATTAGCACATCTCATTTCCATGGAGAATATTTGGCCCCGCCCCCTCATTCATGGTCTATTGACTTTGAAACTTTTGCTAATGAATTTTTTTTACATGTATTAGTTTTTGATTAGATCAGTTTAAGATGAAATGCTAATGTTATGTCAATAATATTTGGTATGCAAATTTATTGGCATTTGCAAGTCTCGTTTCCATGGAGATTATATAGCCCCATCCCCTCATCATGGTTCATTGACTTTGAAACTTTTACATAGTTTAAAAGTTAATGTTTGTGTTTAGGTTTGTTTAAAGGGAACGACTTTATGATAAGTCAATGGTATTTGGTATGTAGTTGCATTAGCATTGGCACATCTCATTTCCATGGAGATTGTTTAGCCATATACCTTCAGTCATGGTTCATTGACTTTGAATATTTGCATAACTTACATGTTAAAGTATTGTTATTTTAATTTCAACATTTGCATTATCAAAATTACAAAAAGGCGAGACATATCTCTGTGTTATCAGTTTATTTAAACTTAATAATATTTTTTTATATGATATATTATATTACATCACAAAATGTCTATTTATTATCAAGATCCACGAGGCTGCCAACAAAGAAATCTTGGCTCTTGCAAATCTATTAGTAGAGGTGTTAGATGTCTACTTTGTAGGAATAAATACTGCAACCTTTTATCAAACCGAATGATATCTTTATAAAAATAAAAAGATGTGGTATGATTGTCAATGTAACAACATTCAACCAGAGACCAAAATGATGTTAAAGTTAGCAACTAGAGGTCACAAAAATTTTCCTCTGTAATAGTTTTAGTGAATATAGGGAATGAGTCAACTTTTGTGATTGTTTTTTTTTATGTTTTTAGATAAAGATTCTGCTTCTCTGTGGACTAGGAAGTATTTTAACACCACTAATCTTGGTAAGTATTTAATTGTCATTCCTGTAAATAGTTTATGATGTTATCTCATTAAAGTTCACAAATGGAGGGACTTTTTTTTATGTAAAGATGAAAAAAACTGCAATTGATTCCCAATAGAAACCACCAGGTTAGCAATATGTTAACCATCATCTCAACCTGTGTTTCTGAGTACACACAACAAAATGTATTGAAGAGAACATTATTTGGATCCTTCATATAACTTCTTCTTTTTAACTATTTAACAAAATAGTTTTATGCCAAGATTGCAATAATTTTATGAGGGTATTTGTAAGGTTTTTGTTGAGTAGTTTTAAGAAAAAATTGTCTTAATGAGTTAATGTTAATAAGTGAATGTGGCAATGTAAGAAGAGTTGTGAACTCAGAGAGAATTGTACTTTGATTTCGTTTATTGTAATTGGAGTTCAGATATTTTGATATATATCTCTCATTTTCTTGTAGTATCACAGCCAGGAGATAATACCCCAATAGCCAAGTGTCCATACAGTAGTTTAGGAGGTTACCTGATAGTCATACAGTATCTACTTATTGTTAAATTGATAATGGTCACCTTACTGTATGCTTTGTTTAGGTAAGGTTGAGCTGTAATAGTATACTTTATTATTAGTTAGAAATAGTTATATATCTACTTTTATTATTACAACTAAGGTATAAAAGTCAATATAAAATTTTATTTTTACAGTTATCAATTTTTTTTAAAAAAAGGTCTATAAGAAAAGTCAAGAAAAGATTTATCTTATCCTTAAATGGTCAAAGTTGAATATTTTTCCCTTGTTTCATTACCTAAAATGTTTAGGTCTGTTTACAAATTAAAAACTATTGAGAAACTAAGGTTCCAACTCCCTCCAGCAAATTGAACTTACTGTGTATTCATTATTATTCGTTGGATACTAATTTTCGTGGGTTTCATAGGTACAGGTGAAACACGAAATCAAATTTTCAACGAATTAAAACTTTCTATAGGCTTTGTATGCAGAGATTGGCAAAACCACAAAATCAAATATCCACGAAAATCCAGGTTTTCTCAATCCACGAAAATTAATGCTCTCGAAAATAAATGAATCCACAGTAGATGGATTTGGCTATTTTATTTAGGTTACATTTGGTCATATAGCATTTTACCTGTATCAGTTCTTATACATCCTTGGCTTTCAAATATTTGGTTTTAAATGTTCCTGATGTAGGTAAATCCAGAAAACCACTTCAGACTCTTAAAATTTATCAAGTGTTATTCAAGTTTTAGTAATTCTGTTTACATTTTCAGACACATCAATTATTAATGAAGCATTAATCAAGGCATCTAACAATAATCTAAATGTGATTATTTTTTTTTTTACAGCTCTACAAATTCCAAAGTGCAGGGTCAATCAGAAGCTATATATAAGTACCAGAAGTATAGTCTGATTATAGACTTTGAAGAGAAGTTGATCCTTCCTCCACCATTAAACATCATCAGCTATATTATAATGGTATTCCAATGTATATTCCGCTCATTCAGGTATTGTTGGAGGAGATGTTGCAGGCGTTTATCTGATTGTTGCAAGAAAAAGGAAACAGTAGTGAGTAAAAATTTATATTTACTCCCAGTGTATTTGATAACTGCAAAGAGAAAAAAAAAATCATATATAATTCCATGTTTCCAAGGTAATTTTAAATTAGTTGTGTATAAAAATTTTGATTGAAAAGTTGGCAGTTTGAAAAAGGTAAAGTTAAATTGTTGATCATCCCTTTCAAATGAAAAGGCTTTTAGCACTTTTCAGAAAGAGTTTGAAATCATTGTCATTGCTGGATGTTGTAAAATTTATGGTAGTTAAAATGATAATTGTTTGAAAAGCTTAATCTTATAGTGTTACATTTACTAGAATTAATATTTTAGGATGGAGCTAGTAAAATAAATATCATGATGACTCAGTATTCAGAGAATTACAGTTATTGGGGAAACTTTGTCAAGAAATTGGAAAATGAAGAAGAACAGCTTCAAGCAGAAGATAACAGGGCTAATAAACAAAGTCAAATGTGAGTAATCTAGAAAACAGTACGGCTAATAAGTAAAGTCAAATGTGAGTAATCTAGAAAACAGTAGGGCTAATAAGTAAAGTCAAATGTGAGTAATCTAGAAAACAGTAGGGCTAATAAGTAAAGTCAAATGTGAGTAATCTAGAAAAACAGAAGGGCTAATAAGTAAAGTCAAATGTGAGTAATCTAGAAAAACAGTAGGGCTAATAAGTAAAGTCAAATGTTAGTAATCTAGAAAACAGTACGGCTAATAAGCAAAGTCAAATGTGAGTAATCTAGAAAAACAGTAGGGCTAATAAGCAAAGTCAAATGTGAGTAAGATAGAAAACAGAAGGGCTATTAAGCAAAGTCAAATGTGAGTAATCTAGAAAAACAGTAGGGCTAATAAGTAAAGTCAAATGTGAGTAATCTAGAAAAACAGTAGGGCTAATAAGCAAAGTCAAATGTGAGTAATCTACAAAAACAGTAGGGCTAATATGTAAAGTCAAATGTGAGTAAGATAGAAAACAGTAGGGCTAATAAGCAAAGTCAAATGTGAGTAATCTAGAAAAACAGTACGGCTAATAAGTAAAGTCAAATGTGAGTAATCTAGAAAAACAGTAGGGCTAATAAGTAAAGTCAAATGTGAGTAAGATAGAAAACAGTAGGGCTTATAAGCAAAGTCAAATGTGAGTAATCTAGAAAAACAGTAGGGCTAATAAGTAAAGTCAAATGTTAGTAATCTAGAAAACAGTACAGTTAATAAGCAAAGTCAAATGTGAGTAATCTAGAAAACAGTAGGGCTAATAAGCAAAGTCAAATGTGAGTAATCTAGAAAACAGTAGGGCTAATAAGTAAAGTCAAATGTGAGTAATCTAGAAAAACAGTAGGGCTAATAAGCAAAGTCAAATGTGGGTAATCTAGAAAAACAGAAGGGCTTATAAGCAAAGTCAAATGTGAGTAATCTAGAAAACAGTAGGGCTAATAAGCAAAGTCAAATGTTAGTAATCTAGAAAACAGTAGGGCTAATAAGCAAAGTCAAATGTGAGTAAGATAGAAAACAGTAGGGCTAATAAGCAAAGTCAAATGTGAGTAATCTAGAAAAACAGAAGGGCTTATAAGCAAAGTCAAATGTGAGTAATCTAGAAAACAGTAGGGCTAATAAGCAAAGTCAAATGTGAGTAATCTAGAAAACAGTAGGGCTAATAAGTAAAGTCAAATGTGAGTAATCTAGAAAACAGTAGGGCTAATAAGCAAAGTCAAATGTTAGTAATCTAGAAAACAGTAGGGCTAATAAGCAAAGTCAAATGTGAGTAATCTAGAAAAACAGTAGGGCTAATAAGTAAAATCAGATGTGAGTATTCTGAAAAATTAAAGGGTTAAATAAGAAAATCTGGTGTCAGTCGTCTGAAAACAGACTAGCTATCAAATGATATCTGATAAAAGTATTCTGAAAACAGTGGTGCTAAAGGTTTTAACAAAAAACACGGCCAAAAAATTAAGAGCTGAATAACTCTGATATTAGGTTTTTTATAAAGGATAGCTCTTAAACTCGGAGTTCTTTGTAAGCAACCGAAATTCACAAGTCTAAAAACAGAAGTCCTAAAAACAAAGTCAGGTGTGAGTATTCTGATAAATAAAACGGGGTGAAAAACAAAGTCAGATGTGAGTAGTATGACAAACAGTAGGGCTGATGGTCAGTCAAATGTAAGTAGTCTGAAAAAACAGAAGTGCTTAAGATGAATTTAAGTCCGGAAACAAACTCTGGTAAAGAATTTAAAAAATTAAAGGGCTAAATTTTATGTCCCACTTGAGTAGTCAGAGAATTGACAAGAAGATAGAAACAAACTTATATATGATTTTTTTGAAAAATGATGATACAAAAAAATACTCTCTGTAATTCTGGACTTACAACTTATTTATTTCTAGGTTAGACAGTATAATGAGCCAGTTTTTACAAGAAAGAAAATTTGATGGTAAATTGGTAGAACAGATTTCTAATTTGGAACAGAATGTTACTAGTTGTCAAATGGCACTTGAAGAACTACGACACATGATTGAGAAAATCAGTAAGTTTGTTTTAACGGAGTCAAGTTGAAGGAGTCCTACATTTTTTTTATTTTTGATCTTCTGATAGATTGGTCAATTAAAAAAAAAATCATTTAAAAAGTAATGTTTGAAGAAATATTTTTATGTATCCTACTGTTTTCTGGAGAGAGAATATTTATCTGGTCTTGATTCTAAGCTTTTGGGGAAAAGGTTAATATTTGAATATATGTCTTGATTTTTCCAAAACAATCCTGTCATATTCTGATTTAGTTGAATAAGTTGTATGCATCAAGAATCTTTGTAGTTATGTCTTACAAAAAATCATAGACATCAAATAAACACTTGTTATCCACATGGGCTCTGATTTATGTGGACTTGACATTTAAAAAAGGTGTAAAATGGAAATTGAGTTACACTTTTAGATATTTAAGTAATAGTTAGTACATGTAATCTTGTTTGGTACATGTATAATTTCAACGAGGTTATGTATTTCAAAAAAATGGTGAATCATATGAATCAAAGAGGATAATGGTTAAACCAGAGTGAGGCAGCAAACAAGCAAAAAAACCCAGATTATATTTATAGGTCATTGTTTAACCCTCAGCACTTTTCAGAAGCAGAAATAGTATAGTTCATACAAATTAATAACAAAAAAAATTAAACAGAGATGATCAGAAATCTGAACACTACATTTCATGTATGAATAACAACAGCAATAATAGAATGATCACTGACTTAGGCTATAGACTTGTGTACAGGCTCATGACAATATGATTTGGTTGAACTTGTAACTCAATCTTTTTTCTATTATCTTGAATTGTGATGCTTACTGTATCATGCCATAAATATACATCTGCATTAATAGATAAATAGAAAAAATGTACAGAAAAGTAGTCAAATTATGAGAATCAATCGATGTACATGAACTGACCAAAATAAAACAAATATTAACATTATGTGATCCATTTGTTTTAAATTTAGATCCACAACTGCAGCCAGCCTTGGTAGCAGAAAAAAGTTTTATACATGTGCTCAGTAGAAGATCACCTTACCCAGAGACAACTGTGACCAGATTTCCTGTTTTTGATAAATATGTGCCTTGGGAGGTATAACTATAGATATATCAATATTTTATGCACCTATCTATTGATTGCAGATGTCAAACTTAATTGCAATGCTTGAGCACACATTTATACAAACAAAGCAAGCAAGTCAACCAAACCTTTAAACTACAAGCATTAGGAAAAGAGCTCTAAAAACTTACAATAAACTGTACTTTACCATTACAGATACCATACATTACCTATGATCCAGTTGTATATTCCTGCCCCAAAGACAATTATCCAGAGAGGACACAACCATATGTTGATCAAGACTTCCTACAGTAAGTTAAATAAATACTTTTTTTTTATTTCACTTTTGTTAAACAGAGGAGGTTTTAAGTACTCTTGCCATTCATGTGCATAAAAAGAATAAAAAGAACCACCAAATACTGGACATTACAACACACCACACCCCCAACAACACCTGACTCTTCAGAAAAAACTGACATACAATCAAAGACAAACAATGAACAACACATGGTTGACATAGCTTGACTTTGTACAGGCACAAAAGTAGTGTAGTTAAACCAGTTTTATGTGCAAAAACCTCGCCTGTTTGCACATACATCACATTCTATATAAAAATAAGAAGATGTGGTATGTTTGCTAATGAGACAAGTATCCACCAGAGTTCAAATGAAGTGGATGTTAGCAATTGTAGGCAACTGTTCAGACTTCAACAATGAAAAACCCATACCGTATAGTCGGCTTTAAAAAGCCCAGACATGAAAAATGTGAAACAACTAACGGCCTAATTTATAACAAAATAATTTACGAAAAACCAAATATTACAGACATGAACCAACAACAACCACTGAACTATAGGCACCTGATAGGTTGGACAGGCACATCAAGAATGTGGCTGGGTTAAACATATTTGTGAGTGCTCAAAACTCTGTCTTAACCTGGGACAGTGGTGTAACAGCACAACATAAGAACAAACTGTAAAAATTAGTAGCAAAAGATCAATGCGAGGCACAAACACAACTAACATAAATACAATAGACACAAAGTAAGGAAATAAGAGTACTCGCAGCTACTGACTGCTAGTTCAAAGTCAATTACAACTAATAAATAAATCATGTTCTCTCAGATTAAAGTATCAATTAGTACACATCCAACGGATTCAGTTCTCAAACCCTAACTGACCTATATTTTTGCATCCTAATACTGAAAATAGAAGAATAATGAGCGAGAAACAAACAAGATGTACTGTGAGTTATTGCTCACTAATTATATCCCTTCCCAATGATGTTGGCTCTGTTTCACTGTAAATATGCAAACAAAAAGTTAAGTGTGCCGACACTGAATTATCCTTTGTTAATATGTGTTTTGAATCTTTGTGTACAGTATTATATAAGGTAAGAATTCATAAATATCCAATAACTGATTTGGAAGTTGGAACTGCTGAGATAATTGCAATAGACTGCTGATGCTTGGTTAGTTTAGCAGACCCATAGGACCACTATGAGCTCCTACCATTTGGCATCTGTCATCATTAATATTTTTGTATAATCTTCATCTACAAAACCTCTGAGTCAGTTGGAGCCATGATTCATCCTTAGAATGCATTTTTTTTAAATTTGTGATTTATTTCACCAACCACTAAAATTGCTGCTATAATTAAAAATATAACATAGGGGGTTAAACATAGAAGAAATATGTAAAAAACATCTTTTCTAGAAAAAGTTTTATAGACTGGATTAAAATTATTTATGGACGATCATATTATTGTCATAAATACTTCATTTTGACTTCTAATATGAAGTCCAAAAAGCTAGCTACTCAGAACATATGTTACCATAGGACTTTGTAGGAAATATAAGTTGACAGCTTCTCATGGAAAAATTCTTCACAGATTGATGCTATATAATGCACAGAGAATAATATGATGTAATAATGGTCTTTCAAAATTAACCGTTTTTTGGTGACAATCTGTTCAAACATGGCACAGTTTATTAAACATAGGATCCATTTGGAAATAAGTGTTAAAAACAGCCATTTATCAAATTTTATTGATTTAAGGTATAAAAAATGATAATAGCTTAAAATTTGTGATTTGTATGCTTGTCTGAAATTTACTGGCATCATCAAACATATATTAACATTGGACCCTCTGGGAAGTAAATCTTAACACTTGCTTCTAGGAAACGATTTCAGAGTTGAGTAATATTGTGTACAGAAGAGGATTGTCTTCATAGAATTTGTGATGATTATACAATAAGGAGATGTGGTATGATTGTCAATGAGACAACTTTCCACCAGAGTCCAAATGGTGTGGATTTAAGCAACTCTAGGTCACCATAAGGCTGATAAGCCTGCCATAAAAAAAATATTGAGCCAATTAAAAACTAAACACCAGCCTACATGATATAGAATATACTTGAAAGTACTATAAAAAAAAACAATACATATCCGGTTTTGGTAGTTTTGTAACATGCTCCAGGTCACCAAGTGTTTCATTTTGTTTGGCTTTACTCTGACAGAGTTACTACCTCAGAAAAGCTGTGTCAAGGCACCATTAAGAGTATTACTGATGCAGCTGTTGTTGGTGTACTGGAATCTGTGGTTTATTGTTGAATCGCAGAATTCTGGATACTTGAAATGCAATTGCCACAAGTAGGCGCTGTTTCTGGAACTAATGTTATAAATATAATTGAGACAGGGATGTATTTTAAAGAAATGAAAGTTCAGTGTGTAATGAAAGGAACAGTTAGGTGCCAACAAACTAGTTTAACCCCGCCACATTCTGTATGTTCCTGTCCCAAGTCAGGAGCCTGTAATTTAGTGGTTGTCGTTTGTTGCTGTATATCATATTTGTTTTTCATTCATTATTTTGTACATAAATCAGGCCATAAGTTTTCTCGTTTGAGACATTTCGGGGCCTTTTATAGCTGACTATGTGGTATGGGTTTTACTCATTATTGAAGGCTATACAGTGACCTATAGTTGTTAATTTCTGTGTCATTTGGTCTCTTGTGGAGAGTTGTCTCATTGGCATTCATACCACATCTTCTTCTTCTTATAGTTAGAGTTATTAAATAAGTTAGTATTTTCCAGTTTTGTAAGAACCTCTGAATATTAAAACTATCATTTAAGATATACTTTCAATGCAAATAAGTTTTCAATTAGGGGACAATTTTCATATCTATGATAAAATTTGCTATTTCATTGATGTTACAGATCTCTGATAGACAGTAAAGCCATGTCTATGCAGAATGTGAGAGAATCAGAAATAGTCAGTATAATGCCTTCATGGAATGCATCTACAACTGTTGTTATTAAAGGCAAGAAGAGGATGATTGACAGGAAAACTTATATTAAACAAGATGGAGTCAAAATTAAATATCAGCTAGATACCTGTAATTTGCCTATGTAAGACAGTTTTAATAAATATTATTTTATTGGTTAAAATTTAAGATAAATCAAAATCAAAACCATTTCTCTGCTTGAACGATATTGTCTTCTTAATAAATTTTAAAAGACATCATTCAAACAATAAATTATAAAACATTGTAAAAACAGTTGTCATATATGGAATTGTTTTCAACTTGTATTTGTCCCTATTATTTGCCTTCTTTTTTTATTAGTTTTTACTAAATTTTCAAATGATTCAAAAAATTGATGGACATATATCCTATAGGCAACAAAAAAGTTGTTTTTATTAAAAAAAAAATTCAAAAAGGAAATGCAAAAAACTAAGAATTTATGCATGATATCGGCTTTTTTATTTTCTGTTTATGCAAGGCAAAAAAATGCGTTATAATTTTATATATTTATATATAATAGCAACCCGCGAGGGAGAACTGGTTTAAGAGGACGAGGTAGACTACACAGATGGGGACCTAATCATAATGTAATAGTGGTTATCACACGTTGGAAGAGGAAAGAGAACTCTGAGGATTTTCTCATTGTTGATGATAAAAGAGTGTTAGAAGTGATAGCCATACAGAAAAGTGACAGTTCAGAGTATTCATTACCTAGGGTATGATACTTCTTGAATAACTTTACATAACCAAGATCAGTATATATCTCATCAGTTATAGGAAGTAATTCAAAAGTTACAAACAAAAATAGGAATTGGACAGTAAAACTTCAGATTTGAAAATAATGTTTTTTACTGATTTTTTAAACCTAAATGAAATCCAATCCTTTTCTAAAAAGTAAAAACATCATAGAAGATAACAGATTTGTGTATAATTATCAATAAATAGTAAGCATTTAGGTGAAAAGTTAGTACTTAAATTGTTTGTTTTACAGGGAGGTGATTATGGATATTTGACTATGTATAGTGCTGTATGTCAGAAGTTTTTGACCTTCACAGCTGAAGATACAGCTACCAAGGTCAATCCAGACATGGAAGACACTGATATGATAAAGGTTTGTTGTCATGCATGATCATATTTTGCACTTACATTGATATAAAAATGTAGAGTACATTTGTACATTAAAAAAGTCATATCCATGAAGAAAAATGTCTTCTTTTTCTATTAAAACAAAAGACTATATTCTGACAAAAGAGTTCAATACTTTTTACTTTGAGGAGTACTTTTGGTAGTGATGTATTTATTCTAAAGACATTCTATTGGTGTGTTTCCATTTTGATATTAAAAGCATGCTACACTGAACTTTTCAAACTTTAAAGTTTCAAATTAGATTGGACTTTTTTCAAAAATACTAGACTTGATTATGGAGATATTTGAGGTAAAATATGGTTGTGTTGGTAAAGAAAAAGGTTGTTGGCTTTTCAAAAAAATCTGACACTAGTGTTTTTGACAACGAAAGCATACTTAATAGCTTATATTTTAATGTGTACAAAAGTACACTTAAGTTTAATTTTGGTTGATTGGTAGGTTGACCATCATTAACATAAAATCAATATAAGCTTTATTTACTACATATGTTTCTAGCCAATCAATTCACTTAGCAGGTAATAAAAGGACATCTGTGGCACCAGTGTGGTCAGTAGGTTTCAATATTTATTATAGCTAGAAAACATTTCTTGGCTCGCCTATTTAAAAACGAAGAAGCAAATTTGATTTCTATGTTTACACGAAAAATTGTACTGTAATATAATGATTGCTAATACAAGTAGCTTTGGATTTTATGACCTGCAACTAATAGATATTTATGCCCCCGCCATAGCGGAGGGGGCATTAAGTTTTACCCTTGTCTGTCCATCCGTCCGTCCGTACATCCGAAAGTTGGTTTCTGTTCTCTAACTTAAGTTTGCCTCAACCAAATTTTATGTAACTTATACACAATGCTTATTACCACAAAACACAGATCAAGTTTGAATTTGGGTGGTGTCACTTTAACCGTTCTAGAGTTATGCCCCTTTACAACTGGAAAAATTGCTGAATTTTTCGTTTCCGTTCTCTAACTTAATTTTGCCTCAACCAAATTTAATGAAACTTATACACAATACTTATTACCACAAAACTCAGATAAAGTACAAATTTGGTAGCGTCACTTTTACCGTTCTTCAGTTATGTCCCTTTATAACTTTATATGATATGCAAGCGGGGGCATCATCTGTGTCCCATGGACACATTCCCCATTTATTTTAGTTTATTTTATAGTAAAGAGTGTTTTTGATTTTTTTTAGTTTTTCAGACAGTTTTCTCCATCCCATGGATCTTCATCTCCCTTTACTTCCACTGTTATCTACAAAGGATATTTTGATGATCAGTCCAATTCAGATAATGCATGGAGAGAGGTAGAGGTCTGGAATTTACATTTTGATGAAGAAGACAGAGAGAAAGAATTTAACTTAAAAAATGTAAGTGTTTAATTTTTAGAATTTAACCTTTTTAAAACAAGGTTAATTATTTAGAATTGAGGTGTCAAACTCTTATGTTAACAATATATAATGCTACATCTTATGTTGGAAGGATTTAGCTTAGCAGCCTTGTAGAAATAAGTGATTGCAGATATTTGAATATGAGTAAGACATTATCCAGTATGCAGTTGTGGAAATGTTAAATGACAGAATTTAGTCATAATTTAAATAAGAATGTTTCATTTACACTGAACTGCCTCAGTAGTCTCATGGTTGCATGTTCCTTGTTCTCAGTATTGTCTGTTGATAACCTAGTAGGATATATTCATATGAATATGACATTAAAGGGGCATACTTTGTCAAATTCATGTTCACCGATTTGACTCAAATTCTTATATTCAACTTATACCATACTAAAATGCATATCCAAATTATAAAAAGTCTAAAATAAACAGTTTTCAATGCATAGACTCAATAGTATGTATCTATTTTAGTCTAGATGCCATTTAATTAACCATCGAGGTGACCTCCAAAGACTGAAGACGGTCATATAACAAGATAGAAACATAAACATAGATATAAATAGATTGCGAACTCATGCAATTGGATTTTCCTAGGTCTGTTTGATTTCATATTATAGGTTAAAAAAATATGTTGATAATCGTTTTTACCTGTATAAGAATGTGTTTTTCTGGATCGAATCAGTCAACCAAATGGTTTACCCTTGTTTCACTTCCAATGTTTACATTCTTTTCCATTTAATAACTGAACACGCCCTAGTTCATGCGTAACCCATCTCTAGCTATAGGGATCAATTAAAGTTCACATGAATATGGATTCAATGAGGTCGAATTATTCATTTGCAAGCAAATAACTCATTAGCGATGTTTCTTTGCTTGTTTTGACAAAACTGAACCAAACTGGCTGTTAAAAGCGAAGTATTATTTCACTATTTTACTTTCATTAATGATTGAACAAAAAAAAATTATATTCTATTTTTTTTTTATATCTCGTAGCTATTAATGCCCCTTTAACATGTTATGCTCCTGAATTTGCATGTTACATTTTTGGACATTAAGAACCCATCAATTAATCATTTCAATTATTTACATTTTACAGAAAGAGAAGAAATGGAAGACTGTCTCTTCATACAACACTTTCCTTGGAAGCCAGGACTTGATACTTAGACAAGCTGCTAATCTACATACTGCTTATTACTGAATATATATATTCATGTGTTATTGTTTGTGATTGATCGAATTTTGTGGCTTTTAATTGTGTGCTGAAACTATAAAATTAACTACCCAAAGAAATGCAAATTTTATATGCTTTTTAGGCAAAGTCAGTATATTTTGAACATGGAATTTTTCTAATATATCCTTCAGTTGAGTTCACTTGTTATTTTTTCTCTTTGCCAAGTCACAATCCAGGTTTTTTAGAAACCTATAACATTTTACAATAATTCACAAAATTTCGTTTCCACAAATAGAAGAACTTTCACAGAAGTTAAAATTTCCCAGCACTTTCTATGAAAACCATTTGGGATACCATTTCACAAAGCAGTCATGGGTGTTAAATGTGCATAATTTATATACATTTGTAATGTGAACTTTGTAAGCTTTGTTAAATGATGTCAGGGCCTTGTACTTACAAAACATATTCCACTTGAAATGTAAGCAGAGACTTAATACTGTTCCACACTTTCCATGTAAGCCAAGACTTGATTTTGTACAACACTTTCATGTAAGCTTTGATCTAACACTGTACAACACTTTCCATGTGCAACAGCACCAATGTGACCATGTAAACCATACTTTACACTTTTCATAGAAGCCATGACCTGATACTTTACACTTTTCATAGGAGCCATGACCTGATACTTTAAACTTTTCATAGAAGTAATGACCTGATACTTTACACTTTTCATAGGAGCCATGACCTGATACTTTAAACTTTTCCTAGAAGTAATGACCTGATACTTTATACTTTTCATAGGAGCCATGACCTGATACTTTACACTTTTCATAGAAGTAATGACCTGATACTTTACACTTTTCATTGAAGTAATGACCCGATACTTTACACTTTTCATAGAAGTAATGACCTGATACTTTATACTTTTCATAGAAGCCATGACCTGATACTTTACACATTTACTGTGTAACTCTTTGCCAGTCACTGTACAACACTTTCTGTGTAGGCCAAGACCTGGCACTGCACAATACTTTCTATGGAAACAATCTACTGATAAATATGGCATCTGCTTATTACTAATTACAGGTAAATCTGTTGTGCAGTTTTATTGCACATACAGTTTGACAGACAGTATGCTCAATTAAATGCTCTCATAAGAATGAAATTGTTGAACTACACAGCATGGTTCCTTTGTACGGATCTGTTGACATATTTTTCTCTTCAAGATTTCAGAAATCAAAAAGAAAATCCTTCAAATTTATTTTTTTATTTAAAAAGGGGGGGGGGGTCAATTCGCAACAGCATTGTGTATTGCACAAAAGCAAAAAATTGAATATAACTTCAAATCATATATCATATAACCAATTCAAAGTTCTTTGACTACAGTTATTCTGTGTCAGAAACCTATTATGTGTCAAATATTGAATTACAATCCAAATTCAGACCTGAATCAAGTGCGAATATTGTGTCCATTTTTCCCCAACTGTTCAGGGTTGGACCTGTGAGGTCGTATCAGGCTGCGCTTGGAGAAGCAATTTATTCAAACTGTTTTACTGTATAATGTTGGACTTTATGATAATTTCTATATTAAACATTGGGTTAGATAAAAATGTATGAGAAAACTTGTATGATTAAGATAGTGAATAAAATTCTAATTGTCTGATTAATCATTTCAATATTTCTAATCAATTGTATAGCAAAATGCAACTGTTTATCAGCAAGCAGTAAATTCCAGATTGTTTAATTTAATTCCCTCAGTCTCCTGAGCTCTTTAAGTCACACTCAGTCAGTTGAAGCTTTGATTGATATCAAGGAAAATCAGCTATTTCAAAATCAAGTTGAATGAAATAAAAAGCATAATTTATTTGTTTACATTAAAATATATTGTTAAGTATGATTTCAGATGATATTCTTACCGCCATATTTAGTTTTGATTCTGATTTTTTTTATATGTGTTCAGTTACTAAATGCTATTTTAGTATTTATATTTACATGTATGATGTTTTGTATTGTAATTTGATGATTTAATCATTTTAGACTACTGATATACTACCCACTGTTTTATTTTAAAAAATGGAAGCTTTTTCTTTCATTTCTAGTCATTAACATTTTGATCTGCCATTTTTAGTGCCTAAAATGTCACTATTGCATGATATTTATGAAATTACCATGCAAACCACAAATTAAAGTATATATCTAATTTTCTTTACACTAAAACTTTAACAAATATTAACTTACTTTCTTGCACATGGTCAACTCTATTTTAATTATATAGAGAGCTTTTAAAAAAAAATATCAGGTGTTGAAAATTAAAGTGTTCAAGTGGAAATCAGGTAAATATAAGTAGTCGCCTGGAGCAACATGTTTCAACTAAGTAATAATGATTTCACTAAGTAACAAATGTTTAAGTAGGTCTAGGTAATATTCAAATAGAACTGACCAATTGCAAGAAAATTAGGTACTAAATTCTGATAGGAGTTATTGCAATGACTGAAAGCCTTGAATTAATAATTCATCTGCTTTTTTTTTCTGCAGAGTTTAGTTTATAGTCCGGTAGTTAGCATTTGATTTTCTATGTATGATATTATTGTCAAACTTTACCTCGCAACTGTTTGTAATCAAAATATAAGAGCTTCGCTTTGGTTGTAAAAGCTTTGTTACTGTAATTTTTATTGAATATTTATCGTATCGATTATGAATATTTGACAGATTTTTTTTTTATTATTACTTTTTATTTAAATGGCCTTAAAAGGTTTTGTATCATTCTCTCCACTATAACACAGTGAAAAAAAATGTACCTTTTTGACACCCTCAAAAGCAAAGTAGTTAAGAGGGTGCACTCTGTCTGTCCATCTGTTTGTCCATTCAGATTATGTTAGGTTCATAACTTAAAGGGACACTAGCTACAAAGAAATTATTCACTTTTTTTTATATTTCAAATTCAAATGTTGAGATGAGAATAAGGGATTGGGTAATGGGTAGTGTATCATTTGTGACCTTTGCACTTAGTACTTCTAGTTGTCCTTAGATGTCTTTTAACATTTGTTCGTCATATAATGTAGAGACAAATCTCTGTGTCAACAGTTTATTATAAAACTGTATTTAACTGTATAGGGGAAAGTAAATATTTTTCATTGGTCATTCAAGAATGAATTGTTGATTATGGTAACTCAATATACCATTATAGATTTATGAGAATTGGGCTCTTAATCCAAAATACTTCTCAAACTAGACCAATGTACATACTGATAAATGGACAAAGGTTTATCATTATCCCCAAGACACTTTTTAACAGAGCCTAACTACTAGAGTATACCATTATTATTAAAAAGAACGCTACGCCTTTGCTTAAAACATTAAATTACATATTTTATTTTAGTTAGAAAATTTTAAAAATAAAAATTGTGAATTTTGATAACTTTTGAAAAATTTACACACAGATAAGATTTACTGCTTATTTGTGTAAACGTAATTAAAGACAATTATATCCTAGTCATAATGCTTATTTAAAGATTTTGATCATTGTATTATAACTATTTTATATTAATTGCAATGCATGGATTTTACCTTTTATTATATCTTTCTTTTCTTACCTAGAGATTTTACAATTTGTCTTGATGATTTTTTGCCCTTTTGTCAATAAAAGTTACCTTATTTATTTACTTGTTTTTTTAAGCATTGAAACTAGTGTTCCAATTCTTTCCAAAGGAACAGGCCTTCCAAATAGAAAGTTGCCAGATTGGCTTATTTATTTATTTATACACACTGAGATACAGTTGAAGATCATTCTCATATCTGTGTACATGAAGTCTGAAACATTTTGGTTATATCTTAAAAACAGTTCTTCAAGAATATATGTCTTTAGTTTTGTCAATTTGCTGACTAGTTTAATCATTTTTATTAGATAAGAGTACTGATACAATACCAGTATGATTTACAACTGCCATGATCAACAATCAGAGAAGAGGTGGCGTCTTAACTGGAATGTCCGACCCTCATAGATGCCAATCATATTGAATAAATTACTTAATACTAACTTCAGCAGCGCCTGCATATGGAGTATATAGCTCCCAGTTGATAAAATATTCCAGAGCTTGCACTTCCTATCATGAATTCCTTGATACTGAATTCTTTGATACTGGGTTGCGGCTTACAAGGAAGCAATTAAAACCAAGAGTTCAAAGTGATGAAGTTGAAATCATCCCTTCGAAAATTTTACAAACACCATCACAGGTTTGTTATTTCTTATAATTATATGATTTACAGATGTCGACATATATATTCGAATTGTGGTAACCCCAATCTCCTCCCTTTTTATGCCCCACCTAGGGGCATTATGTTTTTCGGTCTGTGCGTCTGTTCGTATGTCTGTCCGTTTGTCCCTCTGTCTGTCCGGCTTCAGGTTAAAGTTTTTGGTCAAGGTAGTTTTTGATGAAGTTGAAGTCCAATCAACTTGAAACTTAGTACACATGTTCCCTGTGATATGATCTGCCTAATTAGAGTTTTGACCCCAACTTCACGGTCCACTGAACATAGAAAATGATAGTGCGAATGGGGCATCTGTGTACTATGAATTGAATATGCATAAATATTATCAGTGATTGGCTCTAAATGATCAGAGAAATTTTAAAACTCTTAACCTAAGTAAATCAATATATAATTGAGGTAAAGATTGCATTCATGCAATCATTACCCTTATAAGGCTTGATATCTATATCTTCCAGAGTTTGAGCTTTTAATTTTTCCATTTGATAAAGGTCTTTCAGTTTTGAATTTCCTTGGAGTTTGGTATTTTTGTTATTTTACTTTTTTATAGTTAAAACAACATAGTGCAGTGAAGTGAACATTCTTTATGTGATACCAAGGTAATGTCCTGCAACTTTTTAATGATACGTTATACTCAGATATTAAAATTTACAAGATGAAGACTGTATTTTAATAACCTTACTTGTCAAGAAAACTGATTTATTCAAAATTACAAAAGTTGTGCATGGTGAATGAATCTGTTATGCCAATATGAAAATAGGTTCAACTACAAATGTACAATTATGAACAAAGGAAGATTTAAAATATATATTATTTGACTAAAAACAATCAATTGTTTAATTTTAAGTTCACATTACAAAATGAAAGCAATCTCTACCCTTCAGTGCTCAGAAGCACTTTGATTTGTATTTATACCTTATCTAAAATCTTTTAACACTATTTGTATATTTGAATTCAAGAAGTGTAATTTTGCAATGAAGAATGAAACCTCACTCTAAAAAATTAGTCTCTAAATTTGTTGATGGAGGAAAAAGCACATTTTCAATGCCTTTTTCTAGAAAATATGAAATTATAAATTAAATAAAAATACAATTCATCATATTTTGAACATCTTCAATCCATCCTTATCAAATCATTTATGGCATGTTATGAAAAGGTGCATAAGATCAATTTACCTTCTAAAATTGAAATTAAAAACAAATATGCCTCAAAAATTAAAAGTTCTTGATCGTTTTACAATTATAAAAATCTATACATGAAGTAAGCTATGGAAATGAAAATTTCCTTATACCAACCTAGAAGTATTCATCTTCAGTGTCATATAACTGTTTTCAAAATCAATAAGACATCCTTAGAGGAGAAAAATAGTATACCTATGTTTCAACTTACAAAATGCCCCAATAAAAGCAAACAGGTTAATTTTGAGAGACAAAAGACCTCAGTTTCAAGTCTCTCTATCTATTTATCCCAGGTCCTACAAAAATAATTGATCAACTTTTAAGAGGATCTCTATCTTAGTAATTCTTCTGTTGAAAAGATTAAACATGAAACTGAAAACATTAGTTATTAAATAAAAATACGAAATTGTTATGCTAATTAAGGGACCCACTGTCATTGGCTCATACTTTGCTCAATTTATCTACTGAAAAATGATCATCATTCTAAAGAACTGCAGTAAATGCAACAGTCTGCAACAGGGCTATGTTTAAATCTTTTCAGGAATATGGCAGTTGTTTTCCATTCGTTTGATGTATTTGAGCTTTTGATTTTGCCTTTTGATAAGGGACTTTCCGTTTTGAATTTTCCTTGGAGTTCGGTATTTTTTGTAATTTTACTTTTTTCAGATTTTGGTCAGGTTCGTTTTGCTCAATTTTTAGTTTTCTGTGTGGTGTTTTGTGGATTTGTTCTTCTTTTCCTTGTTTATTATTTTTAGTTTATGGCCATGACATTGTCTGTTGTTTTTCTTCGACTTATGAGTTTTCAATGTTCCCTTTGTATCTTCTACCTCTTTTTCCAATCTTTTCATCGGTGATTTCGATCACTTTGATTCTACTAATTAAGAAAATGAATGTCATGTTACTGGCAATTCAACCTGATACATGAAATAATTTTGTTTGCTTCATTCATTCTGATTTGGCAACATTCAAAATTACATTCCATGGAAGAAAAAACAAAGGGGGCAGACACAAACCAGAAATAAAAGAAGAACAGACAATATCTGGGTAAAAATGAAAAGTTGAAAAGAAAACTATTTCTAGACTCAAAGCCATTAGGAGCGTGACATAATGTATAGACAACTACCATATGTTGACCGCTAGATGTCTTTTGGTATATGGGTTTCTATCTTCCAATAACAGTCCTCAAAATACCACACAGAAAACTATGAATTATTTAACTTGGTCTAACCAAAAAAACGGAGATGAACTCAGATACTCCAGGAGGTAAGCTCTTCCCGCTCCACTAGTAACACCTATCCTGGTATGCTTTTTAAAACAAATATCACAGAATATAACACAGAAAAGTAAAGCAGAAGCACCACACAAACCACTAATATATAAGGATATACAGGTGCTGTTGCATGGTAAATATTTTCTACTCTGCAAGGGGCATTTATAATATTAATCAAGCGCTTCAGTAAAAATCCAGTGAGAATTGCTTTTGGTTATAGGTAGGTTAAAAGGGGATCTTATTGTGGTCATGACAATTCAAAGATGTCGCTTCGAACCTTCAGTTCAATCCAGCATTTTTAAGTGTCCATAATTTCACAAGGTTGATGATGATGATAAGGAGGAGGATGTCTGCTTCATGTCCAGCGGCGAATGAAATGCATATTCAGGATAGAAAACATGTTAAGATTATATGATTATTAATCCTGCTTTTTACTAGACCTACAAGCTGAGTCGGATTTTTAATTTGCTAGTTTAAAGGTAACAATCCTCAGGAAGACATGTCACCCTACCCAGACACATTATTCTGACTTCAAGCCGACAGGTCTTTACTCTCGCACGTTAATGCCGCGTACTTAACGGAGAAGCAGCTAATACTAATTTCAAAGTCTTCGGTTTAACTTGGCTGGGGTTCGAACCCAAGTAGGTTTGAAAGATTGAGATGATTTCCCATAAACAATAATGCACTGCAATATACCGGTATGTCACTGTTCGCTATCTGCTGCTTCAGTTATTCTCTGGAACGTTGATGCTGCGTTACATAGTCCAAAGCATTGATGCATACTGTTCAACTCCCCAGTCTGTGGTTGAATACGCAGTCTTTTCTCTGTTACTATGTAGCACTGGTAATTGACGATAAGCCTTATCACGTCCAGTAATGAAAACTACTGAGATCAACACAAAGCATCCAAATTATCGTCAATCTTGGTATCGGATATGCATCGTGTATTGTCACTTCATTTAGTTTCCGGAAATCTACACATAGCCGCAGAGGTTTTTTTTAATAATTTTTGGTACTAGGACAATGGATGAGGACCATAGACTACATTATTTCTCCTATGATACTTTTCTTCCGCAATGATTATTGCTCTATTTTATTTTCCAAAATTTGCATCCAAAACAATGGTACCTTTCACGGGTGTTCTTTGGTTGGTGTTTCATCACGTAATTTCGAAGAATGAATTTCAAACAAAGTTTTTCCAGGTTTTTCATTAGGATTTGCAAAAACCTCTTGGTATTACATTAATAACTTCCAAAAAATGATTGGCCTTTTCTTTCCATCAAGAAATATCTTGTCCAAAGGTAACTATACATCTGTCTTGTATCTTTTCTTCAACACTATCAATCTCTACCTCAACAATGTCACCGATATTCATAACTTGATCGAACAGACCCATATGTGTCACCTTGCACAGTATGACATCGATATGGGTTGCAATAAGTAATCTGGCGCTAAATTATTCCCTCAGATGCATTCACAAGAACTTTGGTCGATACCTCTGCTGGTGGACTATTAGTCCCCTAGGGTACTATGATCATCAGCTCAGTAGTCAGTACTTCGGTACTGACATGATTCATAAAAAACCTTTGTAAAATTGTCCGTTAAAAAAATTTTGAAATTATAAGAAAAAGGGGTTTCAACTCCCTCAGGCAAAGTTGACCTTAAATAAATTTGGGTTTTTTTAGGTCATTTTTGGTCATATAGCTCTTCAACTGTTTAGGTTATACATTCTTGTCTTTCAAATATTCGGCTTTGAACGTTCCTGATGAAGTTTAATCCAGAAAAGTGCTTTGGACGCATGCAATTTATAACGTGTTGTTTTAATTTTTTTTGGCTAGCACTTGTCCATTATTTAAAAAAAAAATCTTTCAGGAGACAGAACACCGTAAATATTCAATGTCCCTACTACTTCATATATAGCAGGTACTATTATTGTCTCTTAAG